CACTACGAATATACCTGATAGTTGCGTCCAGACAGGCCTAAGTTTGCCAGAACAGCGTTCCTGGGATTCCAACCATGCGACTCCTTGAAACTGCTGCTAACTTTTAAAACGAGTGCGCGCAGCGTTAAAGCCAAAGCCACTTTTTGAGCCAGAGCCGCCCTTCATCATCTAACATGTTGCAAACTTTGCTGGCGAATGGGCACGGTGCGAAGGCGAGAGTAGCATTTTGAAGACGGCCCACCCTCCATCCGTGACAGTGTTGCAAACTTGTAAGACGAGTGTGCCCAGCGCTAAGGCAAGAGTAACATTTGGAACAGCGCCGGCCCTCAATACTTGAAATTGCCGAGATTTCAAGACGAATGCGCGCGGCGCTACCTCGAGAGCCAAAGTTGAAAAATGGCCTGCGCTCCACCCGTGAAACTCTTGCTAATCTCAAGCTTCAGGATCATAAACAAGGGTGGTGGAGTCTTAGGTGAAACGCCCAGCCCGTCCTACCGACACGTTTGGGGGTGGAGCGACGGACGTTAGGGATCAAGGAGGGAGGGACGGGGGGGAATGGAGACGATGGGGGAAGACAGGATGAGGGATGGATGGGTCGGGGTGATGAGGCATGGCGGGGACGGCATGGTGCGAAACTGGAAGAGGGAGTAGCAGGGCATGATAGGGTGGGGCTACGGAAGAGGATGGGATAGGGAATGGTAGGGTAATGAAGGCGAGGGCAGACAGGATGAGGGCGGGATGGCAGACGAGAGGGCCGAAAGGCAAGGGATGGGGGAAGGGCCTTCCTCCTTACTTCCTCGCTTCGTCCTACCTCGTGTCCCTTCCTCCTCCTCCTCCTTCTCCTCCTCCTGGAGCGGAGGACTAGGGGGGGGCGGACCTAGAGACGAGACAGGCGCCAGGCTCAAAGTCTGATAACACCTCCAGGCTCAAATTTGGGCTCCAGGCTCAGAGTGAACCTCGGACACAAATCTTGAGTTCGAGTGCTCATATTGCCAAGGCCTTACGGCCAGTGCCGCCGACCCTGGATACCTCGGCCCTCTAGGGTGACGGGATGCGTAATAAGACGTCGGAGGTAAGTGGCGGAGGAGGAGGCCGAGGAGGAGGAGGAGGAGGAGGAGGAGGAGGAGGAAGGGGAGGAGGAGGAGGAGGAGGAGGAGGAGGAGGAGGAGGAGGAGTAGATGGATGGAGGAGGAAAACGAGAGGAAAACGCGGTGGGACGAGGAAGGCGAGGAGGACGAGAGGACGGAGGAGGACGAGGGGACGAGGAGGAGGATGAGGAGGAGGAGGAGTGAGGAGGAGGAGGGAGGAGGGAAGGAGGGAGGGAGGGCGGGAGGCGGATAGGTGAGGAGGGAGGGGAGGGAGGGAAGGAGGAGGGCAGGGAGGGGGAGGAGGAGGAGGAGGAGGGAGGAGGAGGAGGAGGAGGAGGAGGAGGAGGAGTGAGGACGAGGAGGAGGAGAGGAGGAGGAGGAGGAGGCGGAGAAAGGAGGGAGGAGTGGGGAGGACGGAGACGGAGGAGGGAGGAGGAGGAGTAGACGGAGGAGGAGGAGGGAGGAGGAGGAGGGGGAAGGGGAGAGGGCGGGAGAGGGTCGCCGTGGGGAATGCATATCTGCCCCCCACCCCCCCCACACACACCCGCCCACCAGCCCCTCCCCCCCCCTCTCCCCCCTTCCGGTGAGAAGGGTAGGGAGGGGCTTCCCCACGAGTACGATTCCCTTTTGTTTCGTGTTCGATTTCCTTTTATTTCGGGCGACGACGACGACGACGACGACGACGGTGATCCACGCAAGACGACGACACCGGGATGCGTCTTCCACACGCCAGGCTCAAATTTGGGCTCCTCCAGGCTCAGAGTGAACCTCGGGCACAAATCTTGAGTTCGAGTGCTCATATTTTGAGCATGGCGACCCTCTGGGGAGAGAGAAGGAAAGGGGAGAGGGGGGAGGAGGAAGAGAGCAAGGAGAGGGAAGAGGGTGAGTCCTAGGAGAACGAGGAGGAGGAGGAAGAGGAGGAGCACCAGCAGCAGCAGCAGCAACAGGAGCACGGCGGGCAGCACGGCGGCGGCGGCGGAGCGCGAGAAGGCGGAGAGGTACCCGGCAGCGCTGGGCCGCGACGTCCGGCCAGCAGCCCACGAGACCTGGGGGCGCCTGGGTGACCGCGCGGCGGCGCTGCTCCAGCACTGCGCGGCGGCCGGCGCCCGGCGGGCCTATCGCCGCGGCCGCGCTTCGGGCCGGCGCCTGCGGCGGTGGCGCGCCCAGCTGGACGCAGCCTTGATGCGCGGCGTGGCGGCGCAGATCCTTGACGCCCGCCACGGCGTCCCTGGCCAGGCGCGCAGACGTCGGCGGCCTGGCGACGCGCGGGCGCTGGAAATGCGGGGCCCCTGAGTGCCGCGCGTGCCGTGCGCGATCGTGGCAGCATGCAGGTATGACCAGACCGCCGAGGGGAGCGCGAGCAGCAGGAACAGGAGAAGGACAGGGAGGAGGAAGGGAGAGGGGGACGACGACGACGGGCCCCCAGCTGTTGTAACGAGTTGATGCCGTCGGTCGAGCCATCTTTTTGAGGCACGACCCGAGGGCTCTCCACAGGACGTGCGTGAGGCACGGTGGCGTAGTAACGATGCGCGCGTGCCCTCAAGGTAGAGGAGGGCGTGGGAAGGGGACGGACAGGACTACAGGCGGCACATCAAATCAGAATTCAGCCTGCCAGCAATTGCCCCATGCAAGTCTCTGATCCCCCTCCCCCCCCCCATGGCCCTGGGTGCGCACAGAGGTCCTGGTGCACCTGAGGATTTTCAAAGCGCGACGACACACGTGCGCCGATATTTCGTGCACGTACACATGTGAATGCTATGCGACGGGGAGTCAGGATGAAGGAAGGACGAGACGACGGTGAGTAGAAGGATCAAACTCGGAAGAAGGGTACATGGGAGAGCCAGATGATGAAAGGACGTTTGGGAAGCAGTGGTTTTGAAGACGTGTCCTGCGACTCGTTGCTCGCCCCTTTCCCTCTTGGAAACGCTTGAGTGGTAAAGCGCCGAACGAATTTGCGGCAATGGTAGATGTGTGGGTGGCCCCCCAGCGTTTAACACGGGACCACCTCGATCTTCGACGATGACGAGGGTGATGGCGATGACATTGGCAATTCATGACGTCGTTGTTGATGATACATGTGATGCTGATAGCGATGTTGATGATGGTGCTGTTGGTACTGACGATGGTAATGATGATGTTGGTGGTGATGGTAGTGATGCGGATGATGCTGACATTGATGCTGATGATGACAATGGTTCGGATGATGAGGATGATGATGCCGATGCTGATGCTGATGATGCGAATGATGATGTTTATGGTGGTGTTGATGATGTGTACGATGGTGATAATAATGGGGACGATGCTGATGCTGATGTGAATGATGGTGGTGGTGTATCAGACGATTATGATGATGTTGGCGATGATGGTGAATATGACGCGGATGCTAACGACGTTGATTACGATGAAACTAATGTTGATGCTGATGATGACGATGGTGATGGCGATGATGATATGGTCATGGTGATGGTGATTATGATGATGGTAATGATGATGCCGGTGATGATGGCGACGTTGGTGTTGATGAAGGTGAAACGGTTGTTGATGATGATGTTGTTGTTAATGATGATGTTGGTGATGATGTGATGATGATGGGTTATGATGATGAAAATGATGGTTGTGGTGGTGGTGGTGATGATGCTGATGATGGTGACGTGATGATGTTTGATGTTGTTGGTGGTGACGATGTTGAGGATGCTGATGGTGCGGATGAATAGTTATGACGAGGATGGGGATGAGGAGGAGGAGGAGGAGGAGGAAGAGGAGCACGCGGGCTGTGCTCCTCTCCTGCCCCGCGGTAGGCTCTGGCGCTACTGAAGGGGGCCCAGCAGTCGACCGCCAGCGCTGCCCTCATTGCCAAGGCAAGGGCGAGCGTGCAAGCGGTGATGGCACTCGTGGAGGCTTCGATGCGGCCAGGAGGAAAGGGAGGAGGAGAACGATGACGAGGAGAAGGAGGAGAGTGAGGAGGATGAGGAGGACGGAAAGCGGCAGGCGAGGAGGAGGAGGAGGTGGACAAGGAGGATAAAGGGGGAGGGGAGGAGGAGAGGGAGGAGTAGGAGGAGGAGGAGGAGGAGGAGGCGGAGGCGGAGGCGGAGGAGGAGGAGGAGGAGGAGGAGGAGGGGCAGGGGAATGGAGAAGGAGGGCGAGGAGCTGGAGCAGGAGCACGAGCACGGAAGAGCGGGCGGGGTAGGGGAAGCCCGGATGCGACCGATCATTTTCAGGCATGCAGAGGACGCCCACCCAGCCAGTCAGCAAGTCGATTGAGGAGACCCGCGCTTGTTCACTTTCTGCGGCGAGCGAAAGGGGGGAATGGTTTTTTTTATTTCTAAAAGTTTTATAAGCCTTCCCCGAGGACACAAACAACCTCTCAGAAGGCGGTGGGGCTTCTGAATAGTCCCGCCGCCTTCTGAGAAGGCCTTCTCCTTCTCATTTCCCACCCTCGCTCTTTGCCGGCGCTCGACATTGGCATTCGAGCGTAACGCTACAGTCCCCAGTCGTTTTCGCTATAATCGACGTGCGTTCGCAGGATACTTTCGGCTGTGTGTGGACGTCGACGAGCGAAGTACCCCGGTGCCGTGCGCACGTGGAGTGAACCTGGCAGCTTTCACTAAAGGTCCTCTTGCTAAAGGGTGTTCTGGCAATATTCGAATCAGGAGGATTTTCGGACGGCAGGCAAGGGGAGGGTCGGAGCGAGGCGAGGAAGTAGGCAGGAAGGGGAGGGAGAAGAGGGGAGGGACGGTAGAGAGGGAGGGTGAGACGGACGTGGGTGACACACACGCGCGTGCCCTCCTCTCACACGGACGTGTTTGAGATCTGCGGTGTGTTGCGGCCAGGAAGGTTTGCTTGACATGTCGCGGTGCCGGTCATGGCCCACGCGAAGCACGTCCCATTCCAGAATCATCAACAATCCGACCTTCTCCCGGCCTCCCGTTCCGCGAATCAGAGCGACACGTTGTCAGCTTGCAAGGTGCAGCGTGTCGCAGGGGCCTGTTTCTTGTTGTTCTTTCGCTGTGTTTGTTCGCTGGACGTGTCACCCCCCGAGGCTCCTCGTGGTTCTGAAGCGGGCCGCCGGCACAGAAGGCGATCGATGTGCAGCGTGGTGCTGGGCACGCCGCCACGGGTCGGCGCCGAACAGCGGCGCCCTGCGTGCGAAACTGCGTGCGTGCTACCGTGGTGCGGGGGCTCGCGGCAGCGCTTCGCGGGCTTACGCCGCCCCGCCGGCCCCCCAGGGGGCCAAGCTGCGGGGCCAGCACAAGCGACGGATCGGGAGCCTTTTGGGGGGCCTCTTGGGGCGTCCTTGGAGCTTCTGGGCGATCGCTGAGGCTATCTTGGCCTCAGGGCACCTTCGCTTCCCCACTCTTGGGCCCCTCTTGCGGCAGCGATCTGCCTTGCTGCTGCAGCTGCTGGCTGGGCGGGGACATGCCAGGGTGCCGCGAGTGCGCGCTGCAGTGGTGTCGTGTCGCGGGGTCGTCGTGGTGTGCCGAGGCGTCGTGGCCATTGCATCGCCTCATCTCGCTACAGTTCGAGTGCCATCGCATCGTTTTTTGTATGGCATCGGTACAGGCCAGAGCGAACACGAAGCTGACTCTGGATCTATAGCACAGCTTCTTCGCTCGAAGAGGAACAAAGAGGCGAGAGCGTAAGTTGTCTGAGATCCGCGCGGACATCCGAAAGTTTATGTTCGTGCGGCCGTGTACTCCTTGGACAAAGCCGGGACCCCGGGCAAGGGAGGCCGGCGAGTGACCTGGCCCCGAAGCCAAAAACAAGAAGACTAATCATTAAGCCAGGTCCGCCGTGGCTGGCATCTCTTCGGCTGGCAGCAGTTCTGGTATGGGGCGGGGGGGAGGGCGTCCCCCGGAAGACGTCATTAAACTAGATCCTGTCTTGCGCGCGAGTGGTGTTGGTTGAACAGCTGCGTCTTGTAGCGCGAGCTGTCTGTCCGCCACAGCCCTTAGCGAAGAGTTCGCTCCCATCTCCTCCCGCCAGAGAAAAACAAGAACATCACTAAACCAGATCCTGCCAGCGTCAGATTGTTTTTCGTCAGGGCCCATGCCGAACTGGCGCGGTGCAGCTGCGGCGTGGTGCCAACTGGTGTGCCCTCGCGGGGTCGCGCGGGCCCCCCGTGGCGGCGCGTGCTTGGCCGGGCGCGCCCAGCGTTTAGTTTCTGAGGCAAGGTTTAAGTCGGGCTTGCCCCTCTACAGGAGGAGGATTGAAAATAGTCAAACATAGCATGGGGACGATGTTTTGAATATAGCTTGACAATTGTTGTTTTTGTTCGTATTTTCGGAGAAGAGAAGCATGGTGATCCTTTCCTGATTCACTGTTTTGCCGATCGGCGAAGGCCCTCGCACACCCCCTCCCCCCCCCCGTTGGAATAGATCTTGGGTGTTTTTGGCGCCTGTTTCACGCAGGTGGAGTCTCCCCGACAGCCCCGACAGGACGCACTGTTGAAAGCAGTCGCATTGAGCGGAGGTCCGGAGCCAGACCCCCCCGCTCCCCTCGCCCTTCCGCCCAGTGTCGAGACGCCGAATAAAAAAAGACGTTCGCACGGTTGGAGTCGGCTGGAGGTGTGAGGTGGTTTAGCATTGGTTCCCGCGAGCAGGAATGGCGGGGGGGCAGGTTCGAGGCACTGGGTTCGGGTAGGTTGTTGTCCCCCTCCCCCCCCCCCTTTATCGGCCTCTGGGGGCAGTTTTCGGGCCCTGGGACCGCGAGAAACGGATGCGGGGTGAAAACCTGCACCAGATGGACCCCGCAAGGGGACCGATCTTGAGCGGATTTGGCTTCATCCCCCCTCGCAGCCAGTTTTGCTGGAGTGCCGTCCAGTTCAGGCTCCCTGTTCGCGCCCAAAGCAAACATCCGTGATTCTGCTTCGAACGATGGCCACCCGAGAACGCGAGACGGGACACCCTTGGAGCATTGGCACACGTTAGGCCTGTTGGCCGCGGCGTGCAGCCGTCATTCGACGAAGGCAGGAAGCGGTATACCCAGGGAGCACCGGCACATGTTGGGCCCGGCGGCCGCGGTCTGCAGGATGCGCGAGGCGTGTCGGAAGCTCGTCTCTTTCGATCTGACCTCTGAGAGTTTGTGTGTGTGTGTTGCGCAGCTGTGCTCCTCGTTCTGCTCACAAGGCCAGGACTCTGCAAGCCAGGACTCTGCCATGTCTGGCGGGAGGGCGCGGAGGGCAAAGGGAACTCCGGCCCACGGCTGCGTCCTGGTCTGTCGGATGTCACCGTTTACCATTACGAGGCCCTGGCGCCAGCGTCTTTCGGGTAGAAGATCGGCTACGTAATTGATCCACCCCAGAACTGATTTGTTCGCCGAATCTAAAAAACGCCGAACGCTTGCATGTCTACGGTCCGTAACCATTTTGGCTCGAACCATGTTCGCTCCAGCTATTTTGCGCGTGCTGCCACAGACGAGGTTGCGGAGCCTTTCGGCGCCGTCCCAGATACCTCCCGTTCGCCATGGCGCCCAGCTCGCGTGCCCTGCTCGTCGCTGGGTGCGCGGCCGTGGCCGCGGCGGAGACCGTGAAGTTTTCCGACTACGACCTCGGGGCAGAGTTCACCAAGTGCGTCAAGATCTCGGATTGGAACACGATGGGAGTCGACGACGAGGTGGAGGTCGCGGATTACGGCGATGATGGATGCTGCCCGACCGATTACACCCCGGGCGTCGCGCTTGGATCTGGCACGGAGTACCACAAGGGCGTGGTGCGGTGCGGCTTGAACGATGATGGATCGCGGTCTGGCATGAGCACGGGCACGACCTGCGATTACGGCAAATGCTTCGTGGTAAACCCCGCTTTTACGTGCTCGGACGCGGACAGCTCCAAGATGACCTTGGGCGGCTGTTGCCCGACGACGAGCGACTACGGGGACGACTGCTACGGCTACTCCAAGTCCACCTCGAACAGCGTGGAATACTGTTCCACTTACAAGGTCGTGGGCTTCAGCTGGGAGACCCTCGGCTCCTCCGCGACGGACGACGACATCGCGGACGGCGCGCTCGCCTGGGGCACGGCGGTGGGCGGCTCGGGCGTCTACAACTACGGCCTCTGCGGCTCGTCCGGCGGGTTGCCGGCGCCTGCCAGCCTCGCGCGGCGCAGCGCCGCCCTTGCCGGCCTCTCTGCGCTTCCCGGCCTCGCCGCGGCAGCGCTGGCGGCGCACGCGGCGTGAGGCAGCCAGCGTTTCTATACATACATTTTTGTCGTACCAGGCAGCGCATCGGAGAACAGGGGAGGTGGGGGAGGGGCGGGTAGGTGGCCAGGGTTGCGGATCGCCGCCGCTTGATTCTTCGGGTCGCCTCGCTGCGGGATCACCTATCGCTTGCGGCGCAGCCGCTCGGTGCTGCCTTCGTTCGGGGGCCCAGCGCCGAGAGGAAGCCGTGGCTCGAAGCCGCGGCCCCCCTTCAGTTCCGCTTGGGAGCTGCTTTTCAACGGCTCTAGTTGCCTGCAGACGTGCAAGTGTTCGCGCAGGATTGGGACCCGAGCGCATCTTTGCGCCGCGTGCATTTTGCCACATCTTGGTGCACTCGAGAGGCCCTCGAGCGATTTTAAGCGTTCATGTGATGTAATTATGTTCCTACATCCGACAAGTACAACTCTGGGATTAATCAATTCTGCGGTCGATTTCCTACTCGAGTGGCGGTGGCGGTAGTGGTCGAGAGAGCGAGAGGGGAAGGAAGGGGGGGAACGGTGATGATGGTGATTGTTCGTGGTAGATGTCGTCGACGTCTCGCGGAGGTGGTGGCGTTTTGTCCGCTGAGTGGGTCGTGTCCAGGGAGGGAAAGAGGGGGGGAGGGAATGGTGATGATGGTGGTTGCTCGTCGTCTTCTTCGTGGCGGTCACCGTCGCCGTCTCCTGGTGGCCCATGCCTCCTCATTGCTCGGCGTACCTCCCTCCCTTCCTCCTCCTCCCTCCTCCTGCTATTTCTCCTCCCTACTCCTTCCTCCTCGTCCTCCTCCTCCTCTTCCTCCTCCTCTCCTGCTCCTCCTGCTCCTGCTCCTCCTCCTCCTCCTCCTCCTCCCCTGCTCCTCCTCCTCCTCCTCCTCCTCCTCCTCCTCCTCCTCCTCCTCCTCCTCCTCCTCTTCCTCCTCGATTCCGTTTCCGCCGTCAGGCCAGGGTATTTTTTTAAGCCCCTGCCACCGCGGCCAAGCGGTGCAGCCTGGGCGCCGCGTGGCACCTCCTGTATGAGGTGCACCGCCGATGATGTTGCGGAGGCGGGTGCCCGCGGCTCACAGCGTCCAACCACCTTTGTTGGATTGCTACTAGCCGCGGGCATATCGCTTGCCGTGTTATGATGAGGTTCTGGCGCTGGGTACCGTTCCGTGTTGTCTTGCTGGGTAGGCCCAGCACTTGACCAATCCCGCCCCTGGTGGGGCCTCCTCCCGCCCCGCCTGTTGGCTGGGGGGAAGGGGCCAGGGGGCGACCTCACCCTGCGGGGTTGTGGTCGCTGGTCCAATGCTCGGGTCCTGCCCGTTGCTTCCTATTTGCGCGTTTCCCCCCTGAGGCACGGCGTTTCCGGCGCTATTGGGGGCTAGCCAATAATAGGAAGCCGGAGGACGGATTCAGCTTGTGCCTGCTCCCTCTTTGTACACGTGTGCCCGTTGCCTTGCTAAGGGAAGCTATGATGCGTGGCAGGTTTGCCAGGGCATGCTCGCCCGCGCCGTGTTCGGCGTCACGTTTTACCCGCGCGGGCAAAGCACCACTTATTCCTTTTCCGCACTCATCCTCCTCTTCTTCCTCTTCCTCTATTTTTTTCCCTGGCAGATAACTCCTCCCTGTCGGGCCCCGAGGCCGGTCGAAAGCGCGGGCTGGGCGTTTCGCGTGAGACCTTTCGCCGCGCCTCACTCTGATGTTAAAAAATTGACAACCGTTTTTTATGGAAGAAAAATGTTTTCAACGCGTGGCCCCCGCTTCAGCGTCTCGCGCGTTTGTGTTCTACATATGCAAGCGTTCCACCGATTGAGCGCGGGTGGCCCCCAAGCTGCGGCTCTCGCTTTAGCGCTTCGCGCGCTCGTTTTTTTTTCCGCGGATTGAGGGCGGGTGGCCTTCCAAATGCGATTCTCACCTGAGCGCCGCTCACGCGTTTTTATATGAAAACATTGCTAAAGCTTCACGGATTGAGGGCGGGCGGCTCTCCAGCTGTGGTTTTCGCTTTAGCGCCACGTGCGTTCATTTTATGAATTTGCAAGACTTCCACACATTGAGGGCGGGTGGCCCTCAAAATGCGGTCCTGATCTGAGCGCCGCCCACGTGTTTTCTTATATCAAAAAACGCTGCAATAACTTCAAGTATTGAGGGCGGGCGGCTCTCAAACTGTGGCTGTCGCTTTAGCGTCTCGTGCACTCGTTTCATTAATTTGCAAGATTTCCACGGATGGATGGTGGCTGGCTCTCAAAATGCGGTTCACGCTTAAGCGCCGCGCATGTTTGTTTTAAACATGTGCAATAGCTCCACGGATTGAGAGCGGGTCGTGTTCAAAATGTGTTTCTCGCTTTCGTGCCGCGCACATTCTTTTTACACATGTGCAAGAGCTTCACGGATTGAGGGCGGGTCGTTTTCTAGATGTGTCTCTCGCCTTAGCGCGCCGGGAACATTCGCTTTCAACATGTGCAACAATGTTCCGGACTCTCGCCCCAGCGCCGCGCACATTCGTCTTGAGCATGCGCAATATGTTCAATGATTCTCAAGGTCAGCGAACCAGATATTGTGTTTTGGCACCATTCAGGATTGTCAGAGCGCACCAATTCTAATGATTCGCGGTGTTGAAGTTCCACGAATGTTGTTTTCGCACGAGTCAGGATCGCCATGACGTAACAGTAAGGTTAATTCGCGGCGTCGAAGTCACGATAATGGTGTTACGGGGCAATTCTGTCAGTGGAAATGACCCCGTGCAGGGGTCGAATTATGAAGATGGATCTTGGAGGGTGTGCTTCAACATCGTTGATGAGAGTTGGGTTTAACCTGGTCCTCCTCCTCCTCCTCGTCATCCTCCTCGTCCTCCTCCTCGTCCTCGTCCTCGTCCTCCTCCTCCTTCTTCCTCCTCCTCCTCCTCCTCCTCCTCCTCCTCCTCCCCCTCCCCCTCCTCCTTCTCCTCCACCTCCTCCTCCTCATTCTCCTCCTCCTCCTCCTCCTCCTCCTCCTCCTCCTCCCCTCCTCCTCCTCCTCCTCCTCCTCCCTCCTCCTCCTCCTCCTCCTCCTCCTCCTCCTCCTCCTCCTCCTCCTCCTCCTCTTCCCTCCGCGCATCAGGAGGGCGCATGACCCAGGCCTCTGACGCCGTAATTGTTTCATTGTGGTCCCCCCGGGGTCCTGACCCCTTTTCCCGGGGCCTGCTCATCCCGAGTCGTTTTTTGATTGCCCCGGGGCCCAGCGAGGGCCCCCGGAGGCTGAGAATGGCCAACACCACCCTCCTTGTTTGTTTTACCGTCACGAGGAGCTATGGGGAGGGGGAGGGGGAAGAGGGGGAGAAGGATGGCAATTGAGGCTACGGGTTGCGCACAGACAGCCCTCCCAGGTAGCCCCAGCTGGCTTCAACAGGCTCCCCGAGTAGTCCGTTGCCGTCACAGGACTTCAACCCTGGGGCGCGGAGCGCCGCTGGAGGCGGCGCCAGGGTGTTGAGACCGCCCCGGACTTCTCGGGGGGGCCTACGGAGTCCCGCCGGGACTACCCTGGTGCTATCTGTGCGCCACCCGAAGTTTTACCACCTCCCGTCGCGCGCGATTGCTTCACGACGCGAGGATGTCTGGTGAGGGGGCGCAGGAAGCGGAGGCGGGGGAGGACTTGGGCGGAGGTGCACAGCCCCCTTCCCCGCGTATTCTCGGAGGTGCACACCACGCAGGAGCAGCAGAGGACCTTGACCGGCTTCGCGGCGACCCCGGAGGAGAGGGTCGACAACCTCACGGCGTCGAGCTCTGCTGCGAGGGGGACGGGCAGAAAGTCAGGGGCCTCCTCCTCCCCCTCCCCCTCCTCCTCCTCTCCTCCTCCTCCTCCTCCTCCTCCCTCCCTCCCTCCTCCCTCCTCCCTCCCTCCCTCCCTCCCTACCTCCCTCCTCCCTCCTCCTCCTCTCTCTTCCTCCTCCTCCTCCTCCTCCTCCGCAACGTTGGGAGGGGGGGAGGGGGGAGGGGCTCAGGGGGATGCATCCAGCCCGATCGCCCACTGCTCGCCGCTGGAGGCCCGATGTCCCACCTTCCCCAGGAACGCGTGGACTTGTAGCTTTCCTGGGGGCCTATCGCCGAGCTATCAGCATAGGTTTTCTGGTTCCAGGTCGATGTTCCCCCCCCCCCCCCTTGAGCGTGTCCCCCCGTGACGTTGTTCTTCAGAATGAAGCGAGCACATCAAACAAATATCCGAGCATGTGCATAACAATTGTCGGAGGTCCGCGACGAGTTCTTGGAACTGCACCAGACCCAGATAATGTTATCGGAGGTTGGGGGGTGAGTCCGACGTGAAACGGAGACCCCCCCTACCAGGAAATCGATTTCGGGTTCGGGTTCGTGTCGTGCGTGCCGTGCGTGCGTGCGTGCGTGGGGGCGAGGCGAAGCTGCGTGGGCGGGCGAGAGGAAACCCTCCTGTGGCTGGGCCGCGGCCGGACCAAATGTTTCTCCTCCGGCAGCCGGTGGCCCGCGGTGTCCCGCCGGTGTCCCGCTGGTATCCCGAAATCCTCCTGTGGCTGGGCCGCGGCCGGACCAAATGATTCTCCTCCGGCGGCCGGTGGCCCGCGGTGTCCCGCTGGTGTCCCGTGGTGTCTTGTGGTGGCCCGTGGTGTCCCGTTGAGTGAGATCCATCGTGAGATCGATAGTGAGGTCGATACTGAGGTCGATTTGGTGCCCCGAGGTGTCCCGTGGCGTCCCGTTGAGTGAGATCTATAGTGGGATCGATAGTGAGATCGACAGGTGTCCCGTGCTGTCCCGTGGTGTCCCCTTGTGTCCCGTTGAGTGAGATCGATAGTGAGATCGATAGTGAGACCGATAGTGAGATCGAGAGGTGTCCCGCGGTGTCCCGTGGTGTCCCGTGGTGGCCCGTGGTGTCCCGTGGTGTCCCGTGGTGTCCCGTTGAGTGAGATCGATAGTGAGATTGACAAGTGTCCCGTGGTGTCCCATGGTGTCCCGTGGTGTCCCGTAGTGTCCCGTTGAGTGAGATCGATAGTGAGATCGATTGAGTCAGATGTTGATTCCCCCCCCTCTCCCCCCCCAACCTCCTTATCACCCGAAGGGTGGTCGTATAGGTAGCCCCAGAATTATAAAGGGATGACTCCCGCCAGCTCTCTCTGCGGGGAGAGGGGGGGGGGACAGCGCTGCTGGCGGTAACAGATGGGCACGAACGAGGTCGGGGCACGAACGGAGCTGATCTGTAGCTTTAGGTCGGGCATGTCCCCCTACGGGCGGATGTTGGAGCAAAAAACGGAAGTGGTCACAACATCCCCCCCTCAAAGAGGAAAAATCGTCACAAAATCGTCCCCAGGATATTGTTTGACTAGTTTGGAACAGTCCTCCTGCATAGGGGCAGGCCCGACTTTCACTGCAGCTCTTGCGCTCGCGCTGCAGCCACGACGCCGAGGCGAGGTCCCCCCCAGTGGGCTCCGGAAGGGCCCCGGTCGCGGGCACCACGCCTCGGGTCCGCGCCGGGGTCGGGGGAGCCCACCCGACGCCGGGGCTCGGCGTGGCCTGGAGAGTCGCTCGAGCAGTAGCGAAGCGTCCTGGCTCCTCTGTATCGGGGGCGGCAAAGAGGGGGTGATGACCAGGGGGGGGGGAGGGGATCTTATGGCGGGGGCCATGGTATTTCCTCAGATTTCATGGCGCCTCGTCTTATTTCATTACGTTCCTGGCCCCCCCGCTGGGCCGCGCACATGCCGCTGGTCATGATTTGCACCCCCCCGTCTTGGACACCCCACTCTTGGCCGCTCCCGTCTATAGCCCTACCGAACAGTGTTATAAGAACTGTTTGTGGTGTCCACGAAGTGTTCGTAGAACGTTGCTGTTTTAGCTTGTCTTGGTTTAACACATCGGGTGATTGTTCTAAGAACATGGTTTTTGCTCTTCGAAAAGGTTTGGGTTCTGAGAACACTGCGTGGTAGGACTATAGGAATGCCGGGACGGTCGGTCCCTGCTCGAGTCTCAGAGGCGAAGATAGGGTCAAGCCGGGCTTGTCCCTCTGTAGGGGGAATGTATCCCAAAAGAGTCGAAAAAGAGTCTGGGGACCATGTTTTGATTATTTGTTGAGCATGTTTTTGGAGTATGTCTTACGTCTCTTTAATTTTTCGTCCAAAATCCCCCTGTAGGGGGACAGGTCCGACCTGACGATGAGGGCGAATTGCCAAGGGGAGAGCAATACGCGTATTCAGGTGCGCCGATGATCTAGGTCTTCGGAAAGGCTCCCGGGCGGAGAAGTGTAATGCCCGCCCCTGTGCTATTCGCCCTTATCGTCGCCGCCGCGCTCCTTCTGGCATCTAGTCTTACGTCTGGCGTGTCCCTCTACAGGAGGAATATGCAAAAGTAGTAAAGAAACAGTCTGGGGACGATTAGTCGACTATTTTTTATATTTTTGAGCAATTTTGGGGTATATCTAAAAAACAGTTTCGCCCACAGTTCGCCTGTAGAAGGATATGCCCGACCTAAATCTAGGCCGTCTTGGGGTCCGAGTAGATGGGGTCGGAGGATCGCGCCACATCGCCGATGCATCGGCGATGCGGCTCGATGCGGAGCTCGACTTTCTCCACACGGACGTCACCGATGCATGGCCGACGTCGCCGATGCATCGCCGATGCATCGCCGATGTATCGCCGATGCGGCGCGATCCTCCGACCCCATCTACTCCGACCCGACCTGGGGGCCTCCATGGCAGCACGATGGCCGAGGTTGGAGCTCGTCGAGCTCTGCTGCTGTGGAAGGGCGGCGGAGTCCGTTGCAGGGGAAGGGCTCCCGGGGGCCGGGCGCCAGGCGGGCGGTGTGGCGCGCCGCGCCCTGGGGCGCGAGATGCGCAGCGCGGTGGCCGCATGCCATCGTTCGGAGGTCCGCGCCGAGTTCTTCGAGCTATGCCGGACCCCCGTGGCGGCGCCTTTGGATCGCAGCCCAGGGCGCGATCCGCGCGCCGTGGAGGGGGTCCCAGCGCCGATCCAAGACACCCGCGCGAAGCTCAGAGAGCATAGGTTTTATGCGGATCGGGCTTGAAGCTTCTAGACGGTTCTGGGGGTCGAAGGTCGAGGATGAGGGAAGAGGAGCGGGAGGGGGAAGAGGAGGAGGAGGAGGAGGAGGAGGAGGAGGAGGAGAAGGAAAAGGATGAGGAGGATGAGGGAGAGGAAGAGGAGGAGAAGGAGGAAGGGGCGAGAAGGTTGGAGGAGGGAGCGAGAGAGGAGGAGGAGGAGGAGGAGGAGGAGGAGGATGAAGAAGACGAAGAAGGACCGAGGAGGATCAGGAGGGAATAACGCACGGCCTCATGAGGAGGAGGAGGAGGAGGAGGAGGAGAAGGAGGAAACAGAGCTTCGTTTGAGAAGGGGCCGGCGAGGTTCCTGCAGAACTCTGCTGCAGCGTGACGCGAGGCTGGACGACATGCCCCCGTTCTGTCACGGGGGGGCGCTCGGGGCCTGCCCTCGTCGTCCTGCCGCTTCGCGGGGGCGGGGCCCAATGGTGTGTCCCGTGGGCTCCGCCCCCGTCGTGCTGCCGATCGCTTGCCGGCGAAGCCTCGACGAGCGAGCGGGAGGCGAGAAAAAGGGAGCAGTCGGAAGGAACATCGAGGTGAGGAGCAGCAGAATGAGGAGGAGGAGGGAGAGCAGGAGAAAGAGGAGGAGGAGGAGGAGACAGAGGGGAGGAGGATGAGGATAGGGGGAGAAGTTGGAGGGGGAGGGGCAGGGTAATGGGAGGGGCAGGGTCGAGAGAATGATTGAGTGAGTGATCGACTTTGGGGGCCTCACGTCTCAGATGGGAGCTGCTGGGCCTTGGGCACGGTCATCTTAGACCGCTCGTACTTCTTGCTTGTCGTGCTCTGGGCGGGCAAGCGCATCTGCTGGGGTACCCTTCGGGGCAGGGCGGGCATTACGAAACGCGTCGAGCAGCCCATGGTGAGGCGGACCCGTCTCAGCCTGGAGACGCGCCAGGATCTCGCCCGCCCCTTTCGAACTTGCTGTGACCATCCGACACACCAACACCATCCGGGATTCGCTCGCATATGCTGGCGCTGCCTGGCCGCTGCGCCTGGGAGCGGGAGGTGGGGTGGTACGGTCGGAAGCTTTTGGATAGCGTGCCGCTCCGCTGGTGCTGGCCCATCGCGCCTCGGTGCGACGCGCTGTCAACTTCGCGGTCCCCAAGCGTCAACGCCCCCAGCCTTTGCCGAGCCTCCCGCCCCCAGAGCGGGGCGACACGCCATCACCTTGCAAGGCACAGCGTGTCGCCAGGGCCGCCGCCTCGACACGCTGAGCAGAAGCTCTCGACCGTACCCCGAGGGAGGTGGGAACGGCGCTGGCCTGGTTCGCTCCTCTGCGGGGCTTCTGCTGCTGCCACCGCACCCGGCAGGAGGTGGTCCTGCACCACCTTCCCCACGTCTGGCCTGCGATGCTGGGCCGTGCTGTGCTGCCGCGCCCTGCCTCTTGGGCGCTGAGAGTACGTAGCGCCCCCCTGATCTCGCGGCGGCCGGAAGGTCGGGAACTTTGCCTGTTAACGCGCCGCGGCGCCGGTCTTGGCCCACCAGACGTCGGCGCGAGACGCTGCCTTGCGACGCGCTCCTCAGTCGCCAGAGGTCCAGGCCTGTCGAGGCCTCCCGGCCCGCGGAGCGGAGCGGCGCGCCGCCCGCCTGCAGGGCCTGGCGCGTCGCCGGGGCCGCTGCTGCGGCACGCAGAGCGGAAGTGACCGGCCCCGGGGGCCCCCAGACGCCGAGGAGGCCGCCCTCGCGCATCCCGCCTCCCTCGGGCAGCATCACCTCCGGCCACATGGGTGCCGGAAGCCCTGACCCCACAGAAAGCTGTCATCGCTGGGGGGCGCGCATCTCCTGCTTCCGCCCGCCTTCCGCTGGCGGAGCCGCCCTCGTTTTTTTGCTTGCGCTGGCCTTCCTCCGAGGAGGAGGTGCCAATTCCTCCGATCCTCGAGGGCGAGGCCTTATTGGAGCGCAGGCCGTGGCCCCCTCAGAAGAAAAGAAAGGCGCAGGAGGAGATTAGGGGAACGACGAATGACATAAACATAGAAACTCGGAGGTCCGCGCGGGTTTCGGTTTCTCGGATCGGCGCTGGGGCCCCCCTCCCTGGCGCGCAGAGCGCGCCAGGGGCGGCGCCAGAGGCGCCGCCAGGGAAGCGCCGCCAGGGAGGAGGAGGAGGAGGAGGAGGAGGAGAAGAAGAAGGAGGAGGATGTGGAGGAGGAGGGGGGGGGAGGAGCAGCAGTAGGAGGGGGAGGAGAGATGGAGGAGAAGGGGGAGGAGGAGCAGTAGGAGGGGGAGAGGGAGATGGAGGAGGAGGCGGAGGGGGAGGAGCGGAGGAGGAGGAGGAGGAGGAGGAGGAGGAGGAGGAGGAGGAGGAGGAGGAGGAGGGAGGGAGGAGAGGGAGGAGAGAGGAGGAGAGGAGGAGAGGGAGGAGAGAGGAGGAGGAGGAGGAGGAGGAGGAGGAGGAGGAGGAGGGGGAGGAGGAGGAGGAGGAGGAGGAGGAGGAGGAGGAGGAGGAGGAGGGGGGGGGGGAGGAGGAGGAGGGAGGAGGAGGAGGAGGAGGAGGAGGAGGGAAGAGGAGGAGGAGGGAAGAGGAGGAGGAGGAGGAGGAGGAGGAGGAGGAGGAGGAGGAGGGGGAGGGGGGAGGGGGAGGGGAGGAGAAGGAGGAGGAGGAGGAAGAAAAAGAAGAAGAAGAAGAAGAAGAAGGAGAGAAGATGACGAGGACGAGGACGAGGACGAGGACGAAGAGCAGGACAGACAAAGGGGCGGGGGGGCCGTTGTTGGAGGAGGAGGAGATCGAGGAGGAGGAGGAGGAGGAGGAGGGGGAGGAGGAGGAGGAGGGGGAGGAGGAGGAGGAGGAGGAGGAGGAGGAGGAGGTCGCCTGACTTGTTCGCGCTCTGCCCAAGCCGGCTTCGCCCACGCCTGCTTCACCCGTGGCACGCTCCAGCTCCGCGGTTCCAGCTCGCCCAGCGCAGGGGAGGAGGGGGAGGGGGGCGGGGCAGGAGATGGAGGAGGCGGGGAGGGGGAGGAGGGGACAGAGCAGGAGGTGGGGCGGGGAGGAGGAGGGGCGGCGAGACGAGCACGCGGCGCCGCCGCGGTCCCCTCCCCCTTTTTTCCTCTTCCTCCCGCCTTCCCCATGCTCATTCCCCCCTTCCATCTCCTCGTCCTCCTCCTCGTCCTCCTCCTCCTCCTCCTTGGGCCCCACCGCTTTCCCCATCCTCTCTCCCTCCATATTTCTCCTCTGTCTCTGTCTCTGTCTCTCTCTCTCTCTCCCTCTCGCTGCCTTTCTTATTTCCTACTATATATGTTTACTATGTTGTATGTGTTGTTTGGTTTGATGATTATTGTTGTTGCCCTCTCTCTCTCTCGCTCGCTCTTTCTTTATGTGTTTCTTTCTCTCTCTCTCTCTCTCGTTATGTGTGTCTCTCTCTCTCTCTCTCTTTGTTTCTCTCTCTCTCTATCTTTTTCTGTGCCCTTCTCTCTCTCTCTCTCTCTCTCTGGCACCCACAGGCACTGGGAGACCGCGACGAGCACGTGAAGAAGTGCGGGGCCGCGGGCGCAGCGGGGAGAGGAGGCGGGGTGGAGGCAGGAAGGGTTCTGAAGGGGGTCGTCGAGGGCTCCAGGAGGCCCTGGGGAGGGAGGAGGGCCCCAGAGGGAGGGGACGGGAAGAGGACGAGGTGGTGGAGGAGGAGGAGGAAGGAGTGATGGGGGAGAGTCAGGAGGGAGCGAGGCACTGGTGGGAGTGGAGCATGAGCATGACTATCAGACCAGGCTGGACCTTCAGAGCACGCACGCTGATCACCATGACGGCCCCCAGGAGCTGGTAGAACACCACGAAGCAGTAACGCATTGGGCGAGCATGCATTCGTGAAGACGCCTTTGAGTATTGACCTAGATTGGCAAGGGGAACTGTACGCCGAATTGACTTTATTATGTGGGGCCGAAAGATTACAGACATAGCCGCAAACTTGACCAGCATTGAATGCGAAGGCCAACACCAAACGTAAATGGCGATGACGCGAGCAGCCTATGCACCCGCAGGTCTCTCAAAAGGTCAGCATTATTGAATGTGGAAAGCCAGCACCAAACTTTGACAAATAACGATGATGCGAACCACCCATGCACTCTCAGGTTCCTCGAAACGAACCCCACGAAGAAGCGAACCTCAAACACAATCCAGCCCACCACAATGATGAAGTACGCTCGAGTGCGCGCGGGTGGGTCGATGCACAACCTGGCTCCCCTCTATGGCCCCCGCACCCGAGACGGACAGCGAGGAAGGTGCACAGGAAAGCGAAGAAAATCCATCCCGCAAGAGAACACCCCATACTTGCAGCAACACGGCATCTTGGCAACCCCGAAATACAAAACCGAGTGACACCTGACTCTGACACGTTCGCCCCGCCCGCAGGCGACCCGCGCCTTAAGATAGAAGACCAGAGTTGCGGATAACCATAAGCACGCCGTGTTGAGGCGGCGGGGCGGGAGCCATGACGCGCTTAAGCCAAAAGGAGGATCTACGCGCCTTGGGCCCCGTGTGCTTGACTGGAGGGAGTGGAAGGAGTGACGGATTGTAGGGAGCGCGGGAAGTGGAGGGTGAGGAGCAGGAGGAGACGGAGGAGAAGGATGTACATGTCGTGGGACCGAGCACATGGATTACGTGAGACGCGTGGATTCGCGACGGGCCCCGTGGAGTGGACGCGCCAAGTCGCCAGATGAGGCGGCGGCGGCTTCACATATCGGGGCTGTTTTCCCAGATCCACGGATCCGCAATCCGCGCCAGCGCGTGCCCGTGCTAGCTTGGCGCGCGGGCGGCCCAGACACCCGACGTCTTGGCTTCTCCCACGCGCGGCCCCCCGGAAGTTTCGACCCCTTCCCCCAGGGTCTCGCTTCTGCATCCCGAGCCCTCCTCTGCAGGCCCCCGGGGGCCCGGCGAGGCTCTGAGCATCGGCCGGGGGCGTTGCTCAGGGGGGGGTGGTCGCCGCATTCCATGGCCCGGGGGGGGGGGAGGAGGCGGAGGAGGAGGAGGAGGAGGAGGAGGATCAGGAGGAGGAGGAGGAGGAGGGGGAGGAGGCCGACAGCGGCCAAAACCTTGCGTGTGTGTCTGGGAGCGCTGCCTCCGACCAGAGGGCCTCGAGCCTCGAGCGGCTCCCCCGCGGCGTGTAGGGCACGCCGTGGGCCGGGCAGGCGCTGCTGGCTCCTGGCGCGCCCCCGGCGCTCCGCCTCGGGGTCGGGGGGCACCCTCGCTCGCCTCGGCGACTCCGAAGGGTGTGGTTTGCAGAGCCTTTTGGCTTGCACAGTAAGTCGGGCCTGTTCCTCTACAGGAGGAATAACACAGTCAAAAAATAGTCAGGGGACGATTCTTGTTTACCATTTTTGAATATTTTATTTTACGGCATTGTTGGCCAATGTTTTTCATGCAAAATCCCTCAAAATCCCCCTTGTAGGGGGACAGGCCCGACCTAAGGCATGCAACCGGCACCTCTGGTGGGCACTCCTGGGGGGGGGGGGGGCGGGCAGGCACCTCGATAGAGCTCTGCGCCGCGCCCCGAGGAGGCTCGACGAGGACAGCGCCGTGCCCCCCAGGGGCCCCCGCGGCGCCGATCGCAGACCAGACCACGGCGCAGCCTTAAGTCGGGCCTGTCCCTCTACAGGAGGAAGGTTCAAAAATGGTCAAAAATAGTCAGGGGACCATTTTCTGACTATTTCTGAACATTTTTGGGAGATTTGTTACATATTTTTAAGTTTTCGTGCAAAATCCCCCTGTAGGGGGACAGGCCCGACCTAAGCGTAGCCATGACCTTTGCAGTCGCCGACTTGGATAGGTAAAAGCTGACCCTCGGCTCGCGCTGGAGCGTCCACGAGTTGCTCCAGCTGTCCCTGGGGATCTGCGGATCTCTACCTCGGTCAGTTCAGATATGCTTCGAGCTGGTCGGGCGTGCTTCAGTTTATAGGATCGCGAGCACGTATGGTGCGCGCCGGCGGGACGGCCTGCCGCCAGTCGGCGTCGAGCGAGGGGGGGGAAGTAAAAAACAGAAAGCCTTCTCAGAATGCGGCGGGACTTTTCCGAAGCCCTCGCGCCTTTGGAGAAGTTTTGTTGTTTCTTCGGGGAAGGCCCAGGAACTGTTTCAGAAGGCCGGGGACTTCTGAGCCTTCTGAGGAGGACTTCTTCTTCTTCTTCTCCTTCTTCTTCTTCTTCTTCTTCTTATTCTTCTTCTTCTTCTTCTTCTTCTTTTTCTTCTTCTTCTTCTTCTTCTTCTTCTTCTTCCCCCCCCCCTTGGGCTCGCCGCAGACAATTCCGCTCAAAGTCGGCCCCTGGACTCCTCCCGCGGTCCATCCCGACCCTTTTCTTCGAGGCCGGCCCAGCCTTTGGCTCCGAGGGGCCTCCCGGAGGCCCAAGGAGGGGCGACAAAACACGCCGGAGATGCGGCCCGCCGTCCCCTGACCCCCGACGTCACGATTTCTTCATTGCGTCGACCCCTGGAGGTCTCGACCCATTCCCCTGGACCGGTCTTTCACCCTGAGTCGTTCTGTTCGCGGTCCCGAGGGCCAGCAAGGGCCCCCAGAGCCCGAAGAAAGCAAGACACTTCCCGTCATCATGTTTGCACTGCCCGAGTGGGTCTGGGTCAGGTACGCGTTCAAGTCCGAGGCCGTCATCGAGCTGCTGAAGCAGCTGCACCAGAGGTTCGAGGCTCCGCGGCGAGGGCTCGGGCGCCCCTGCGCTCCGCCCTGCGCTCCGCCCTGCGCTCCTGCGGGGCGCCGCTGCTCTGCCTCCGTCCTCCGTCGTCCTGCTTCGACAGCCATCCGACGTTCGACGACCTCCTCCTCCTCCTCCTCCTCCTCCTGGATCCTCGATGCTCCTGACTCCTGACTCCTCCTCCTCCTCCTACTCCTCCGCCTCCTCCTCCCTCTCCTCCTTGTCCTCCTCCTCCTCCTCCTCCTCTTCCTCCCATCTCGCCCCTCCCTTCCTAATCATGAAGCGCTCCGAAACCCTCGCTCGCCCCAGCCCGCCGCGGGGGGCGGCGCCTCGCGGACGTCATCATCAACATTCCTCCGCTCCGAGGCCGAACCCAGCCGTGCCGGTAAGCGGCCGAGAAGGTAGAACCCCTCCGTGCTCGACCCCGTGTGCGTCCATCCCCCCCCCAGAGGCAAAGTCGGGTCGGACCTAGCGGAGGCACTGGGGGGTCCCCTTCGGGTTTCTCCTCTCACGCCTGTGTTACGGAGTGCCTGGGGGAGCAACTCTGAATCTGTTGGGGGGAGCGGGTGGGGCAGAGTGAAGGGTTCAATCTTTTTGTCCAGCTACGGGCCCGCGTTGTGAAAAATCACGACAGGCGAGTTTTGCAGCTTTCGGCCTCCAGGGGCCCTCGCGAAGCCGCGGGGAGTTCAACAACAAGCAGGATGAGAAGCTGGCCCTGGGGAAGGGGTCGGGACTTCGACGGATCCGCGCGGTGACAACAATAGCGACGTCGGAGACGCTGGGGAAAGGCTTGGTGCTTCGGGGACCCCGTAATTACCGAAACAATGCTCCCTCCTTCCCTGAGATCCGAACAGGCCCTGGGGAAAGGGTCGGGACTTCGGGGACCCCGTACTAAAGCAGTCCTCCTTGAGGTCCGATTTAGGAGGAAAGTTGCAGCATGGCTGGAGCCCCGGACCCCAGTTTTTTGTTCTGCTGCATTTTTCAATCCCGATCTGATGGCCAGCCCCAAGCAGGGTACCAAATCGCCCGGTGTGGTAAAAGTGCGACGCCAGGATCGCAGGGATCATCCTTCCCCGCTGGCCCCTTGCCCAGCTGCACGGCCCGAAGAGGGAGAAGAATCGAGGGCAGAAAAAAACGCCCCTACCCTGGTTTACGAGGCGCTGTGCGCTGAAACTCCTGTGGGTTGGCAGGGCCAACCCTGCGTGATGTGCCGCGTCCTAGCGGCTCCAGGCTTTGGGGGTTCCCAGGAGGTTTACAGACCGCGCACTTGTAAGCCGGTCCTCCGGGGGCGCCGCGGCAGCAAGCACAAGCCCAGCTCTGCGCGGCAACCCTCGCCTTGGGCGGTCGTGCGGCGCGCGTTTCGCCAGCGCGCCTGTGCGGCAGCGGCTGCTGGCGGGGAGGGGCGCCCGCGGCACGCCCGGGGATTCGGGCATCGAGGCTGTTGATTTTTTGTTGGTGTGTGCGTGTGTGCGTGTGTGTGTGTGTGGCTGTGTTCCCGTTTCCTCCCCCTTCTCTGTTAATTGAAGCTTCGCGCGGCCCGCTTAGCTTCGACCGGAAGAGGTGCGCTCTCGACCCGCGAAGCAAAAAAAGTGTGTGTGTGTGTGTGGCTGTGTTCCCGTTCTGCCTCGGGGCGCCGCTGTCGCCCGACTCCTCCTCGCTCGTGTGCTCCCTGCTTTCCTTGTAATGTCCCCCCGGCGCCCTCCTGGCTGGCCCGGGGCGGGGTTCCTCACGCTACCTTATCTCCTATTCGGCTGCCGCTGCCGCCTTCCTGCTAAGCCTCGGTTGCTGCATCGGCTCGTCACTGTCGCAATGATTAGGGGAGCGAAGAATGGCATAAACATAAAAACTCGGAGGTCCGCGCGGACCTCCGAGTTATTATGTTTATGCCATCCTTCGTTCCCCTAATTATCCCTGTCTTCATTGCCACCTCCTCCACCCCTTTTCCCCTCTCCACTCCTCCACTCTCGCCTCGCGAATGCCCCCCCGCCCGTGTGACGCTGCGCCGTCGCATGCGTGGCCGCGATGCCGAAAGTGCGTGCGTGTGTTTGTGTGTGTGTTTGTGTGTATGTGCGTGTGCGTGTGCGCGTGTGCGCGTGCGCGTGTGCGCGTGTGTGTGTGTGCGCGTGTGTGCGTGTGCGTGTGTGCGTGTGTGCGTGTGTGCGTGTGTGCGTGTGTGCGTGCTTGCGTGCGTGCGTGCGTGCGTGCGTGCGTGCGTGCGTGCGTGCGTGTGTGTGTGTGTGTGTGTGTGGGTTTGTGTGTGCGTGTGTGTGCGTGTGTGTGCGTGTGTGTGTGTGTGGGTGGGTGGGTTTGTGTGTGTGCGAGATCGTGTGCGCTTGCGTGTGCCGGTGCGTGTGCGTGTACGCGCGCGCGCGTGTGTGTGTGTGAGTGTGTGTGTGTGTGCGTCTGCGTCTGCGTGTGCGTGTGCGCACGTGACCGTGCGTGTGTGTGTGTGTATGTGTGTGTTGTGTGTGCGCGTGCGTGTGCCAGTGCGTGTGTGGGTGCGTGTGCGCGCGTGTCCGTGTGCGTGCGTGCGTGTGCGTGTGCGCGCATGACCGTGTGCGTGTGTGTGTGGTGTGTGTGTGTGTGCGAAAGCGTGTGCGCGTGCGTGTGCCAGTGCGTGTGCGTGCGCGCGTGCGTGTGCGAGTGCGCGTGCGTGTGCGCGTGTGTGTGTGTTGTGTGTGTGTGTCTCTCTGTGTGTGTTTGTGTGTGTGCGTGTGCGCCTGCGTGTGCGTGTGCGCGCGTGACCCCCCCTCCTTCACCCTTCGGCCAAACGTCGGAACTCATCATAAGAAAGTCAAAGCAATCACTTGCTTGCAGCGTCGGATCTGAGGGCCTCCTCCGCCCACCGTGCACGCGCACTGCGAGCGCGCGCCCCTTGCGTTGGGGTCGCCCCCCGCTCTCGCCCCTCCCCGAGGCCGACCTCCTCGCCGCGGTCAAGGATCGGCCGCTCCCGCGGGGGGCGCCTGGCGACGTCGACGGCGACAAACGAAAAGGTCCAAGGAGGGAGGGAGACAGCAGGATGCAGGATAGGGAAGGAGGGGGGGGGGGAGGGGGAGGGGGAGGGGGGGGGGGGGAGAGAGCGGAGCGGGAGGGGAGGAGGCGTAAACGGGAGGAGGACGACGACAACGAAGTGAGGGGGGGAGCGGGAGAGTGGAGGGGACGGGGGGGTGGGCGGGCAGCGGGGGTTGGGAGAAGGAGGAGGGCGGAGGGGGAGGAGGAGGAAGAGGGGGAACATCTGGAACGGCTGGAGGGTGAGCAGAGGACGAGCAGCAGGCGGAGGAGGAGGAGCAGGAGGTCAGGGAGAGGACGAGGAGGAGCCGTCGTGGTCGGCTACCGCGTGCTCGCGGCTGGCTGCGTGCTCAGGGGGAGCGCGCGAGCGCGCCGGCGTAAACTCGGCTTCGGCGCAGGAGGACGGCGAGGAGCAGGAGGAGGATGTCTTGGCATCGCTCGGACGTGTGCGTTTCTTCCTCGGCGGGGACCATCGAGCAGCATCTTGGGTTCACTTTGTGCAACCACACGCGCACGAAGTCGAAGCGTGAACGGGGAATGGACGTCCGAAGGATGGCAAGACGAGAGTGATGATCGGCGGCGGGCCTGGGGGGGAAGTGAGAGTGGGCGGGCCTTCTCTCAGCAGGTTCGGACATCCCCCGGCCTTCTGAAAAGTGCTTTAGGCTTCCCCCGAAGGCACTGAGCGTGTCCCAGAAGGCGCGAGGGCTTCTCAGAAGCCCCGCCGCTTTCTGAGAAGGCCTCTCACTTCCCCCCCCCGCTCGCCGTCGAGAGGAGGAGAGGAGGAGGACGAGGAGGAGGAGGAGGAGCAGCAGCAGCAGGAGGAGAAGGAGGAGAATGAGGAGGAGGAGCAGGAGCAAGAGCAGGAGCAAGAGCAGGAGCAGGAGCAGGAGCATCAGCACGAACAGCAGCGGCAGCGGCAGCAGCAGGCGCACAGCCGCTCTCGCTCTTTCGCTCACACCTGATCATCTTCGCGATTTCCGCAGGGGATTCCACGGCCTGGGCATGAGGAAGGTTCGGCGCTCGAGCACCATGCTGGCAAGACCTTTCCATCACCCTGGGGTCTCGACAGATCCGAGTGTCAGACATGTCCACTGGCTCGTCCGGCGTTCTCTGGGGCTTTTCCAGGCATGGGTGGCATAATCCGGATAGTCAGGAAGTTCCGTTAAACATATGATGGGACCTCTTCGCATACATTTGTATCCCATGTTCGCGATTCCTTCGTTAATACCGTAAAGGGTTTTGCCACCTGCCGCCGGCCCCCTCTCTCGGATAATGGGGTATGCAGGGGTTGTGTTGTGAGGCTTCGGCGCCGTCGTAAAGCCGCGTCGGAACTCCGAACGGAGGCCACTGGAAACATGAGCGTGCTAAAATTGATAAACAACCTTAGGACAATCGCAGATGTTGGCAACTCCGGGCCCTCTTGGGGGTGCTCTTGGAGCGCTCTTTGGGGCCTCTTGGGAACCTTTTGGGCCGTTTTGGGACCATCCTGGGCGCCTTGGAGCACCCGTGGGCCGTGTCGGAGGCCTCTTGTACCGTCTCACGAGCCTTTTATGAAAGACTGCGACCTCGAAAGCGCAAACATCCCGTATCTTACGACAGATTATAGATTCGAGGACGCGAAGAACGTGACATTTACAAGGGATCGTGGCTTCGGGGACACATGTATTGTATAAATTGAGATGGAGAGAGAGAGAGAGAGAGAGAGAGAGAGTATTGCTTCGGTGATGCGAAAATTGCGCAATCTGCTTCGAATCAAGGTGTCGGGGGCGCGAACACAGCTTAATCCGCTAGGGTCTTATGGTTCGGGGGCGCGAGTATCGCGTAATGTACGAAGGATTCTGGCCTCGGAGGCGCGAGTACGGCGCAATCTACGTGGGAGTATGGCTTCGGGGGCGCGGATCTCGTGTTGTTCTGCGTGTCCCAGGGCCCTCCAGAACTTTTGAGACCCCCCCCCTGGGTGAAGGCAACGCGGGCGGTTTTCGGCTGCCCCCCCCCCTCGCGCGCGGACCCCAACAATTCGAGGTAGGAAGCCGCACACAAAGTTGTCACATCGGAGAGCGGCAGCTGGAGCGGGGAGCGGGGAGCAGCACACCCGAGCCGCGGAGCCTGCAGGCCCCAACCAGGGGGCCGGGCCAGCGGATATTTTCGCTTTACGATCTCAATATAGCGCCGCATAGAATTCGTGGCGATTGGAGTTCGGAAGTTAACCTGCAGCCCAGATGCTTCCTGCCGACGGGGCCGCGCGACCCCAAAGCGTCCGCATCCGTCAGCATGTGAGGGCCATCATCCTCTGTCTCGACCGTGCTCTTCATTTCCTCTGGGGGGGGCCTGCTGCACGAGCGGCCATTTCCAGAGACGGCTGCGTCAAGGCAAGGTGTCGGATGCGACGTGACGGCTACTCGGGCGGCGGTTCCGTGCTGCGTTCGTTTCCTCGTCTTCGGTTGGCGCCCAGAGGTAAGGGGAGCAAGTTGTTCCCTTCCCTCCCCGTCCTCTCCCTGTGACCTTGCTGTGGTCGTGCAGAGGCCGAGACCAACGCCGTGAACGCGTACCAGCTTGCAGCGGCAGCCCGCGCGAACGAGATCTCTGCCACCCAGAAGGCCAAGGAGATCCGGTCCGTGACTGCCGTTCCCAGTGCCCGTACCGAGGGAGAGGTGGAGGACGAGGTGGGAAAGAGAACAATGGACGAGGATGACGAGGATGAGCACGAGGACGTGGACGACGGGCAGGACAGCCACGCTCCAGACGTTTTTCGGAAGAGCTCTGAGGGCGCCGGATTCCTCGTCTCTACCCCGTCGTCTCCATCCCCCTCATGCCTCCCCTCATCTTCCGCGCTTCCTCGAAGGAGAAGGACAAATAATAATAATAAGTAATAGTAATACTTACATGCTAGTAGTAATGAAGATGGCAATAAGAAGAACAACTAATACGAATAATGATAGTACTGAGAAAGTGCACAAGCATAAATCGTCGGAGCTCCGCACGGATTTCTTGGATATAGGCTTCGGGCCCCCGTGGGCGGCACCTCCAGCGCCGATCCAAGACCTCCGCGCGGACTTCCGAAGCTCTATGTCTATGCGGTGTCTGTTCCAATATTCGCATCTATTCGCCCCCCTCCCCCCATTTCTCTCGCACGGTGATGCCTGACGGTCGTCCAGCTCAGGGCGCTCGGCTCTTGCTGGAAAGCCGCGGCAGAAGCACCTTAGCAGCGGAAAATCGTGTAATGTGCACCTTCTTCGGCCAGTCACTCTATTGCATTGTTGAGCGTCGGCTGCGTCGATGGTTTAGTGGACTTGATTGGCCCACTTCAGGGCCCAATCGTACCCCTGATGTGGGCCTCGTCTGGGGTATCGGCTCGAGCTAAGCACGGCGGCCGCCCCATCTCCCCTTCCCCTCCACCTCTCCTCGCCGCTCCACCCCCCCCTCTCCCTATTCTTTTCCTGCCATCCCGCATCATCATCATCATCATCATCATCATCATCATCATCATCATCATCATCATCATCATCATCATCATCATCATCATCATCATCATCATCATCATCATCATCATCATCATCGTCATCGTCATCGTCATCATCATCAGCAGCAGCAGCAGCAGCAGCATCATCGACATCATCATCATCATCATCATCATCATCATCAGCATCATCATCATTATCATCAGCATCGTCATCATCATCACCATCATCCTCATCATCATCCTCTCCCTCATCATTCCGCTCCGCAGCCTTCCCATCCTATTTCCCCATCCCCCTTCCCTCTCAACATCCCCCTGCTCCTCCTCGCCCTCCCTCTCCCCCCCCCCCGCCCCCCCCGCGTCTCTTTCTTTATTTATGTTTGTGGTGCTCTCTCTTTCTCTCTCTTTCTCTAGTTCGTTTTCTCTTTCTGCTTGTTTCCCCGCTCTCTCTCTCTCTCTCTCTCGCTCTCTCTCTCTCTCTCTCTCTCTCTCTCCTTATATATATATGTATATATATAGAGTTAAAAATACACACCTCTTTGGCTTGTCCTCTCTATTCCTCTTTCCGTTCAGCTCTCGCTCCCTCTCTCTCTATCTCGTTCTCGTTCCCGACGTACTCCTCCAAACTCACATCCCTCACGATCCGCTCCCTCAGATTCCTCCCCCATCCTCCCACCACCACCCCTCCACCTTCCCCTTCTCTTGTTCCCCACCCCCCGCTCCTCTTCTCCCCTTCTCCTCCTCCTCCTCCACAAGTGCACATTATGAATACTCCTCTCCTCTCCTCTCCTCTCCCCTGCCTCTGGCCAGAAAATGTTCGGTCCTCTCCGCGTCTTTTTTTCTACCTAGGATTTCAAACGTTGGTCTTTCCTATTTGGTTGTCGCACGTCAGAGCGGTGTCGGCGTCTCTGAATTATGTTGTCGCTGCAGCGTTGGCCTCATTGTAGGGTCGGTGCTTTGCTCATGTCGTTCAAATTGACGCTCTCGCCCCAGCGCGGGCCTTTTTTTCTGGATCCGGATCCATCCTTATCGTTGTCGCTATCATCTTTTCCCTCCCTCCGCCTTCCCCTGGTCCTCCTGCTCCTCCCGTTCCTCCACCCCGGTTCCGGCTGCTGCCGCTCGTCCTCGTCTTCCACCTTCCTCGTCCTTCCCTTTCTCCTCATGCTCAGCCTCCTGCTCATCCGCAATTCCCTCCTCCACCCCCGCTTATGTACGCAGCTCCCCTTTTCCGACTGTGCATGACACGATGGCGTATGTTCGGGAGTTCTGCGTCCGCTGTGACTCGCGTCCGCGCATATAGAGAAAGCATCAGCGCAATGTGAAGGGATCGGTGGGAGGAGTAGGAGGTCAGATATGGCGCGAGCGCACCTGGCTTGCCCTCCCCCTCTCCTTCCCTCCTCCCACCCCCCTCCTCCCGCCCCCTCCCCCCCTCCTTCCGTCCCCCCTCCCCCCGCCCACTACTCCTCCCGCTGCCCCTCATCCCGCCCGCCCCTCCTCCGCCTCATCCTCCTCCCCCATCCCCCTCCTCCTCTTTGGAGTCCCCCCCTCGTCGTCCTCGCGCCTCCCCTCCCGCCCCCCCTGGCCCTCCGACCCCCCCCCCCGCCTCTGCGGCCGGGCCCCGCCCTCTCCCGCCCTCGAGCCCCCCGCGAGGGCAACAAGGAGGGCGCCGCGAGCGAGGCGCAGGCCGCCAAGACCAGGGCCGACGAGGACCTGATCTCGACCCAGGCGTGGGCCGCCCAGCGCCGCTGCCCCCGCAGTACTCCGAAGGAGAAGGATTCCCAGACACGCCCGCGTGGTGTCTTCGCGTGTTTGGATCGACGCGCATATGCAAACATGTGCGTGCACACGTATATGCACACACATATATTTATATACATACATACATACATACATACATACATACATACATACATACATACATACATACATACATACATACATACATACATACATACATACATACATACATACATACACGCACACGTGTGCATTGGCGCTTCGCGCCATGCGCCTTGTTCCGGACGCTTCCCCGGCAAAGTCATAAGTCACCGGTTGCGTCAGCAGGGGGGACCTCGAGGCCTGGACGGGCGGCCGCCTCATTTTTCTGGTATCCTTGGTGCCTGCTGACTCCGCGTTCGCCCGATGCGCATGCGCGCTTGTGCGCAGGAGCGGGGATGGAACGGTGTTTTTTTCGCGCGCGAAGGTGTTGACAAACGACGAAGCATCAAACTGCTGCAATGACACCTGTCCATGAACGTGGAGCAGGAAGGGAGCAGGTATGAGGGGGGGTTGAGGAAGGAAGGAAGGTTCCCCTGACACGCCGAAGAAGTCGCAGTAGCTCCGAACAACTCGATGCGCGTGCTTCCTTATTGCCTGGTGGGCCCCAGGCATTCAGGAAATCTTCGATCGTCGAACTTCTAATCTAGATCCGTTGCCTGTCTCTCTCGATCGAGGAAGTTTAACCTCGAGCCTCAAGCGTGGAACCAAGATCGTCGGGCCAACTCGATGTACTTCGTAGGAGAACGCCGTCTGGGCGTTTTTGCTGCTCTTTTGGGCCATCCTGGGGCCCTCTTGTGCCGGCCTGGGGCCTTTTTGGGCCGTGTTGAGGAGCTGGGGCCCTCCAGAGGTCTTCTGAAGCCATCTAGGGACCTCTTAGGGGGCCTCCAGTGGCCTTTTTGGGGGTCTCCCATGGCTTTCGTGGATCTCTCTTGGGAGCCTTCTTGGGGCATCTTGGGTTTCTTGTGGGCAATCTCGGGGCTCTCTGGGGCAGTCTTGGGGCCCTCGTGGGCCGTCTTCAAACCCTCTGGGGGGCCTTTTGGGCCGTTTTGGGGCGATGTCGGGGGCCCATCGTGCCGTCTTGGACGCTGCGAAAACCCCAAAATGGAGATGCACATCATAACATATATATATATATATAGAGATATGTATGTGTGTAAACACGTATATATATATATACATACATACATATGTGTATGTGTATATATACATATATATATATGTATATATATATGTATATATATATGTATTCCTCTGGGGCTGGGACGATGTTTGCTTCTTCCAGGTTCTCTTAACGGCCTCTTGGGGCGACCATCGAGGTTCTTCCCGGAACACTCTTGCGCTGTCCGGGGTCTCTTTTGCGCCTCCCCGATGACCCCCTTGATCGCCTTGAGTCTGCTCGCAAGGCCCGGCAAGGCGCTCTGGGAGGCCCGGAAAGGCCAGCGGACCTTTTCCAATGGCGTCCCTGGGGCCGCCGAGACGTCCGAAAGGGCGTCCAGGGCGTCCCTGTGGGGGGGTCCGGTTTAGGGTGGGGGGATGGTCCAGTTTAGGGTGGGGGGGTGGAGGGAGTGTTGGGGGAGTTCCGGGTCATGGAAATATAAGAACTGGAATAGCATTATACACACATATATGTATATACACACACTTGTTTGCATTGGTGTTTCGCGCCATGCATATTGGTCTTTGAAGTTTGGTATACAGGCGGAATGGCGAGAAGGTCGACCCGATAATTTAGCGATATTTCCTTGTTGCCTTTCCGGCAGCGCCGTTATAATAACGTGATTCGTTATCTTTCCACGTTTACTTTCCCTCCGTCTCGCCATACCATGCGTGATCTCCCCATTCTCCTCAGCTCTTTTTGCGGATGTCCCTCTTTGGAGAGCCTCCGGGGGCCTCACAATAGTTTTTCTGGTTTTCTTCATGCCCTTCTGGAAGCCTCCTGGGCCTTGTTGGGGGGCCTTTGGGGGCTTTTTCGAGCCACCCTGCCTCCAATCGCGGTCTCCCTGAACGATCGGGCCACAAGTTGGCATGCTTCGGAATGTGTCTCGTGGCCATTTTGGGTCGTCATGGGGCTGTCTCAGGCCATCTTGATACCTTGTTGTGCCGTCTTGACTCTCCCGGACTGCCTGGAAGCCCGTTCGGATGGTTGTGGGCCGATTTTCGAGCCTCCCAGGCGGCTTCGGACGCCCGTTTTGGAGCGTCGGGAAGCTGAAAACAGGAGAACCCCCAAACAAATCCACCAAAAACCTACAGAAAATCAATGAATTTTGCCTCTTGGGACCTTGGGAGTGCTGTTGGAGGCCTCTTGGGACGTTTTGGAACGATCTTTGGGGGTTTGACGGTTTCTTTGGGGTCGTCGCGGACCGTCTTGGGGTTCTTTGGGGTTGTTCTGGGAGCGCGCCGGAACGCTTGGAGCCCTTTGGGGCTGTCTTTGGGCTTACGTGGGGTTTTCCTGGGTCATCTGGAGGGTTTGCCCAAGAGGCCCAGGGTGGGTCAAATTTGTTAGGGGGGGCGATTTCTCCAGGGTCCCCAGTCTTATCGAAATATGTAAATGGGAAAGTACGCATACATGTGTATGTATATATGTGTACATATTCACATATATATATATGTATATATCCACATTTATACATATATATATATATATGTATATATATATATACATATATATGTGTCTACATGAAAACATTTGTATATACAATATGTCTAAAGCCCTTTGGGTCAAGCGCTTGCAGACTCAGGGGCCTTCTAGGCGCGTGTGCGCTCCGCTCGCTTGCTATGCCTCATGTTGGACGTCTTGAATGGATTGCTGCACAACTTGCTGAAGGACGGCAGTGCCGTTTTCGCGTGAACTCACATGTCGATCGAGCGGTCGTGCATTTTACTTTGTTGAAGAACGGCAGCCAGCTTGTACGGAACGGACCTCTCATTGCGATCCTGGAGGTTCTCAAGGCCACTTGCGAAGAAGCGGTCGTCGTCGACCACGGCCACTTCAGCTCCACTGGGAAGTCCCGCATTTCTTTTCATTTCGCCCGTTGCCTCCAGTTGATTATACTTCCGATGCGTTCCCAGCAACAGTGGAAGACGTACCAACTGCTCAGTCTGGCGCAATGCCACCCCCTGCTTCTGTTGACTTCGAAGACACGATCGATGACCTAAGACAGGAGATGCAAGAGCTGCGGACGAGACTGCAAGGCCAAGTGCGGATTACCGTGAGAGTTCCTGAATCTTTCCCTGCGGAAGTTGTCAAGTTGATCGGTTTTGTTACTGGCGTTCTCGCGGAGAGACCCGTGTTTACTCACCACCGACGCTTTTCCGATTGATGTGCCAACCTGAACGAGACACTTGTGCAATACACGGGTTCCCCTGCAGAGGTCACAGCCTTGGTCACTGATCTCTGCAGTAACATCAATGAGTCGCGCCGCGAGTTGCTTGACGCCTGTCTATCTGCAGCGCAGAACGAGGAGACCGGGGCGAGCGAGGTGAGAGAACACAGAGAACAGGACGATTTGAAAGCAGAGGATGTTGCGGACCAAACAACACATAATACGTATACGACCACCCTCCAGGTGATAAGGAGGTTCGGGGGGGAGGAGCCAACGTCTCACCCGATCGGTCTCACTATCGATCTCACTATCGGTCTCGCTCGATCGATCTCACTCGATCGATATCACAATCGATATCACTCGATCTATTTCATTTGATCGATCTCACAATCGATCTGATCATCGATCTCACAATCGATCTCTTTATCGATCTCACAGTCGATCTCACATTCGGTACCACTATCGATCTCACCATCGATATCACAATCGATCTCACAATCAACGTCATCATCATCAACATCATCGTCATCAGCGTCATCAACATCATCATCATCGGGACACCATCATCTTCATCGGAACACTACCATCATCAACATCATCATCATCGCCACCATCATCATCATCATCGGGGCACCATCATCGTCACCATCACCATCACCAACATCATCATCATTGGGGCATCATCATCATCGTCATCGGAACATCTCCATCATCACAATCATACCACCATCATCATGAACAACATCATCAACATCATCACCACCGGGACACCATCATCATCATCAGCAACAACATCACCATCAACATCATCGTCATCCGGACACCATCATCATCGTCACCATCATCATCATCACCATCATCGTCATCATCGGGACATCATCATCTTCAACATCAGCATCGTCATCATCACCATCACCGGGCCACCATCATCAAAAACATCAGCATCACATCATCATCCTCATCATGAACATCATCATCAGCGGGACACCATCATCGTAACAATCGTCATCAACACCTTCACCACCGGGATACCATCATCATTATCACCGTTATCATCAACAGCATCATCATCAACCTCATCAGCATCATCGGGACACCATCATCATCATCTTCATACTCATCATCATCATCATCATCATCATCATGTCACCATTACCTCATCATCATCATAATCATCTTCATCAGGATCACCAACATCATCATCACCATCGGGACACCATCATCATCATCATCAACACCAGCATCATCAGCATCACCATCATCGGGACACCATCATCATCACCACCATCATTATCATCACCATCATCATCATCATCAACATCGTCAACAGCATCATCACCATCGGGACACCATCATCATCACCACCATCACCACCATCATCATCAACCACATCATCGACACCATCATCATCATCATCATCATCATCATCATCATCATCACCATCATCATCATCGTGACCCCGACGGGACACTGGCGGGACACCGGCAGGACACCGCGGGCCACCGGCCCCAGGAAAGGAATCATTTGGTCGGGCCGCGCCTCAGCGGGAGGCGGGACACTGGCGGGACACTGCGGGCCACCGGCCCCCGGAAAGGAATCATTTGGTCCGGCCGCGCCTCAGCCGGGGGAGACTTTCTTCTCGTCCGCCCACGCAGCTTCGCCTCGCCCGCACGCACGCCACGCACGAACACGAATCCGAAACCGACTTCCCGGTAGGGGGGCTCTCCGTTCCATTTCGATCTCACCCCCTCACCTCCAATATAAAAAAATTCCCGTCTACGAGGCCTGGGGGCCCCGGGCCTGTGGCTCGATCGACGGCGCTCGGGGAATCCGGAGGCGCCAGAGGTGCCCAAGACCTGCCCAGAGAGCCCCAACTCGCCCCCGAGCCGCCGGACGATCATGTCCAGACGCCCGCGATCGCCTCCAGATGTCCCATAACGCTCCCAAGGCGCTACCCGAAGGCTTCCAGAGACGGCCCAGGACGTCTTCTAGATTCTAGATTCTCCAAGAGTGTTCCCAGCGCCCGCCAAGAGGGCCCCAAGAGGCAAAATTCGTGGCGTCTCCATGTTTTTGATTGCGTTTGTGGCTTCCGCCTTTTCGGCTTGCCCACGCACCACAACAGCCCCAGAAACATCGAAGCTCGCACCAACACGGTTTTAGAGGCACCTAAGAGGGCGCCAGATTGCCCGACAGGCGCCAAACGCCCCAAGAGACCTCCAGGATAGCCCACACAGGCCACGAATCTCTAAGAAAGTATTTCCCAGACGCTCATCACGCCTTCCAGAAAGCTTCCAGACAGCCTACAACGCCCCCAGAACGCTCAAATGGGGTTCCAAGGCGCCACCGAAGAGGGCCCCAAGAGCTAACAGTCGTTGGTTTGTCATCGGTTTTTGTTGTTTTTTAGTGTCTCCGCCTTGTCGCCTTGCCAGCCCGCCAAGACAGCCAACAAGCACAACACGCTCGCCCCAAGACCGAACGAGAGGCCCCCAGAGAGGGCGCCGAGACTGCCCACGACGCACCAAAGACTGCCCGAGAGACCCCCAGGACAGCCGAAGAAGGCCCCTAATCTCCAGAAAATCATTCCCAGACGCTCACAGCGACCCCCCCACGTGGCCTACAGCGCCTCCAAGCCGCTCGACGGTTTCCACACGCCCACGACGCCCCCAGAACGCTTGCAGGCGATTCCCGAACACTCCCCAAGAGGGCCACACGAGGAACAATTCATTTGTTTTCCAGGGGTGTTTGAAAGCTTTTCTGGGCTCCGCCTTTTGGGCTCGCCGACATTCCAAATCAGCCCCAGAAGCACCACAACTCGCCCCGAGGCTGTTTCAGAGGGACCAAATAGGGCGCCCATACTACCCAAGAGGTCCCAAAGACGCCCCAAGACACTTCTTGGACAGCCCAGATATTCGCCCCGACGCTCCACAACAGCCCCAGATGCCCCAAAGCTCGCCCCAACACGGCCTCAGGGGCTCCCAAGAAGGCGCCGGGAGAAAAACAAATCCGAGATTGCCAAAGGGGCTTCCGTGATGGCATAAGCGGGCCCCAAGAACGCCCCAAGAGGTCCCAAGAGACATCGGAACATTAAGTTTTCCGCCCCATCGAGATTCATGCAGCTCAAACAGGCCCCCAAAGAGGCCCCCAACAGGTCTCAAAGAGGCTTCCAAGGGGCGCCCCAGTCGCGCCCAGGATGCCCCGAACAGGCCCCCCAGGGGCTTCGAAGAGCTAGGGGACAGCGGCAGGGGACATGATGCAGTTGTATGTATGTCTAGGGCTTGGGGCTGCTAGCACATAACGCGCGCGTGCTTTTTCGTAAACGTGTACATATACAATTACACGTACATCAACACATGCATCTACATATACATACACATACACACACGTTCGCATGCACATGCACATACACACATACGTGCATGTATACATACATACATACATACACACATACATCCATCCATCCATCCATCCATCCATCCATCCATCCATCCATACATGTATACATCCATATGTGTATGTATATGTGTACCGCAATTGCGGATAAGAGTGCGGGGGCGGGCGCGGGCGACGCGGGCGTCGTCGAGCCGGCGGACCTCGTGGCCCCCACCTTCCCTGTCGATGGCGCTCTCCTCTTCCTCCTCCTCCTCCTCCTTTACCTCCTCCTCCTCCTCCTCTTCCTCGTCCTCGTCGTCATCGTCATCTTCATCCTCCTCCTCCACCTCGTCCTCCTCTTCTTCCTCGTCCTCCCTCTCCCCCCCCGTCCGTTCATCATCGTCCTCAAATTGTCGTCCTCCCCCTCGTCGGCCTCCATCATCGTCCTCCCATTGTCGTCCATCATCATCATCATCATCATCATCATCATCATCATCATCATCATCATCATCATCATCATCATCATCCCCCTCCTCCCCCTCCTCGTCCTCCTCCTCCCCCTCCTCGTCCTCCTGCTCCTCCTCCTTTTCTTCTCCACATTATCCTTACATCCTCTCTTCTTCCGCGTTCTCCTCGTCCCCTGTTTACTCCTCCTGCCTCCCCCTCCTTTCCCAAGATAGCTGCAACGCAATTTTTTCCACTTTATGCTCCCCGCCTTCTCTGATCAAGGCAACTCGCCAGGGCAGAGTTGCTGGACGGGCTGGTGTGGATGCGCGGGGCTTGAAGAGGTCCTTGCGGGCTCAGACGGCATGCAAAAATCCGCCGCCGCGCTTGTGCGGCATTGGTTTGTTCAGTGAACGTGGTTTAGGTCGCGGGTGGGTCGCGGGCTCTCCACCTCCACCTGGAAGGAATGCAAAAGCAGCCCGCCGCAGGCGCCAAAAACATTGGTTTGTACACTGAACGTGGTTTGGGTCGCGGGTGGGCCGCGGGTTCTCCACCGGGAACGAATGCAAAAGATGCCCGCCGCAGGCGCCGAACCATGTGGTTTGTACCCTGAACGTGGTCGCGGGTGGGCCGCGGGCTCTCCACCTGAAACGAATGCAAAAGATGCTTGCCGCAGGCGCCGAAAAATGTGGTTTGTACCCTGAACGTGGTTTGGGTCGCGGGTTGGTCGCGAGTTGGTCACCGGGTGGGTCGCGGGCTCTCCACTTGGAAGGAATGCAAAAAAAGCCCGCCGCAGGCGCCGAAAATTGTAGTTTGTACCTTGAACGTGGTTTGGGTCGCGGGTGGGTCGCGGGTGGGTCGCGGGGTAGGTCGCGGGTGGGTCGCGGGTGGGTCGCGGGTGGGTCGCGGGTGGGTCGCGGGTGGGTCGCGGGGTGGGCAGCGGGCGGGTCGCGGGGTGGGTCGCGGGGTGGGTCGCGGGGTGGGTCGCGGGGTGGGTCGCGGGGTGGGTCGCGGGGTGGGTCGCGGGTGGGTCGCGGGTGGGTCGCGGGTGGGTCGCGGGTGGGTCGCGGGGTGGGTCGCGGGGTAGGTCGCGGGGCGGGTTGCGGGTGGGACGACGACAACAAACAACAACAAACAACAACGAGAATCCGCACCGCAGAATTCCACCTCAGCCACGCACCCAGGGACAGTGAATGACCGTTCGGCCCCCTCACCCTGATATACACATGTGAATGTATGCAAGCAGTGTTGTTGTTTTTCTTCCCAGCGTTGGGAGGGGTTTGCATTGCCACGGTGGCGGCCATGAGGAGCCCTTCAACCTCTGACCAACCACAGTGCGTACATTAACTTGAATACAGACATGCGCGCACGTGCTGTCGAGCACATTCTTCCTTTTGGTGTCCATTCTTCTCTTGCCCCAAGGCGGACCTCGCAGCAGACTCGGCGCTACTCAGCCAGACGGAGCAGAAGTGTTCCACGAAGGACGCGAATCGGCGGGCTGGGCGAGATGAGTGATCGAGACACGAGAGGGAGAAAGGAAGAGGAGGAGGAGGAGGAAAACCAGTGTAAACCCAAGAGTCATCAACGATGTTGGAATCTACCTTCCCTCCAAGCTCCCACTTCCTAGGCCCCTACAAAGGTTCGTTTCCATTGAGGGAACTGCCTCGTTGGAAGAACACCGTTTGAAGGCCGTGAAGCATGCCAAAACATTGTTCTCGGGATTCCAACGCCACGGATCAACCTGACTGTTGCGTCTCAAATCCTAAACCGTACCAGAACACCATTCTTGGGATTTCAACACCGCGAACGAACGTAATTGTTACACCGCATAAATTCTAACCCTTCTGGAACACAATTTCTGGTACGTTGATCATGGGAAGCAGTGAAACTCTTGCAACCTTGGTAAACGAATGTGCGCGGCGCTCAGGCGAGAGCCACAGTTTGAAAACGGGTCGCCCTCAATCCGGGAAGCTCTTGCAAATGTTACAACGAGTGTGCGCGGCGCTCAGGCGAGAACCACATTATGAAAGCGGGTCGTCCTCAATCCGCGAAATTCTTGCAATTGGTTAAAAACGAATTTGCGCGGCGCTCAGGCAAAAGCCACATGTTGAAAACCAACCGCACTCCATCTGCGAAACGGCTGCTACTGTTTAAGCTTCAGGGTCATAAATGGTGAGGAGTTATCAGGCGAAACGCCCAGTACGCCCTACACTGGCTTCAGGGTGCGAAGGGGAGAACTTATTTAGAAGGCAAAGGGATGAAGGAGGAGGAGGAGGAGGAGGAGGAGGAGGAGGAGGAGGGGAAGGAGGAGAGGAGGAGAATGGGGAGGAGGATGCGGAGGAGGAGGAGGAGGGGAAGGAGGAGAGGAGGGAGGAGGAGGATTGGATTAGGCTGATGAGGTAGGAGAGGGGGAGGCATAGGGGAGGAGGAGGAGGAGGAGGAGGGGGGAGGAGGTAGAAAAGGAAGAGGAGCCTTGCAAGCAGACTCAAGGCGATCAGAGGGTTCATCGGAGAGACGCAAGAGAGACTCAAGACAGCAAAGGAGCGCTCCAAGAGGAACCTCGATGGTCTGAAGACGGCCCTAGAGGCTCCCAAGACGCCCCAAGAGGCCATTAAGAGAGCCCCGAAGAAGCACGCATCGTTACATCCCCATAGGAAACTATATAGTTTTAGCACCGCCGCTTGTTGCATATTCGCGGCGTCCAAGACGGCCCGATGGGCCCCCAATCTAGCCCCAAGACGGCCCAAGAGGCCTCCCAGAGGGTTTGAAGACGGTCCAAGAGGGTCCCAAGATTGCCCCAGAGAGCCCCGAGATTGCTTGCAACCCGCCCAAGATGCTCCCAGAAGGCTCCCAAGAGAGACCCACGAAAGTCATGGGACCACTGGAGGCCCCCAAGAGGGCCCTAGATGGCTTCAGAAGACCTGTGAAGGGTCCCAGCTCCCCAAGACGGCCCAAGAAGGCCCCAGGACGGCCCAAGATAAGAAGGAGAGGTCCTCAGGACGGCCCAATAGAACACCAAAAACGCCCAGACGGCGTTCTCCTACGAAGTACATCAAGCTGACCCGACGATCTTGGTTCCACGCTTGAGGCTCGAGGTTAAAATTCCTCGATCGAGGGAGAGACAATGGATCTAGATTCGAAGTTCGACGATCTTTGCCTGGAGCCCTCCAGGCATTCACGAAGCGACTAAACATCGATTGTTCGGAGCCACTGCGACCTTTTCGGCGTGTCCATGAAAAACGCTCCTTGCTTCCCCAGAGGATGGACTCAACCACCGGAGAAGGCCGAACAGGAGGAAAGGAGGAGGAAGGGATGGGTAGGGATGAGGTGGGGAGGGGGCAGATGAAAAGCCAGACGAAGCGTTTGCTTTTATTTCCTCGCATGAGGAGCGGTGCTGAAGTAAGCGATGATGTATTGTTTTGCCAGGAAGCGTCCAGAACAAGGCGCATGGCGCGAAACGCCAATGCAGTGTTGTTCATGTGTATACACATGTGCATGCACATAAACATTTACATCTACAGAGCTACACGTCTACATTTACACACACATTTACATAGACATAGTCATCTACGTATACACATACATATGCAGTTACATCTACATCTGCATATACATGCACAATCATACACATACGCATATGCATAAACATATACATACACAGATACATGCAAACATACATACAAGTATTATTATACACATATATACAAAATTGCATTGGCGTTTCGCGCCGTGTGCCTTGTTCCGGACCCTTCCCCAGCAACGCAATAAATCATCGTTTGCCTCAGCACGGCGAACCTCAAGGCCTGTACGCGCGACCGGCTCCTCATGGGAGAAGGTAGGGAGAAAAGTTCCGTCTGGTTCTTCATCTGCCACTTCCAAGGTTTATCCCTACCCATCCTTTCCTCCTTTGTTCCTCCTCTTGCGACTCGTCTGGTGGTTGAGTCCATCCTTTGAGGAAGTAAGGAGAATTCCCATGACACGACGAAGGAATCGCAGTAGCTCCGGACGAATCAATTTTTGGTCGCTTCCCGAATGCCTGGAGGGCTCCAGGCACTCAGGAAATCTTCGGTAATCGAACTTCGAATCTAGATCCATTGCCTGCCTCTCTCGACCGAGGAATTGAAACCTCGAGCCTCAAGCGTGGAACCAAGATCTCCGGGCCAGATGTACTTCGTAGGAGACCGCCGTCTGGGCGATTTTGGGGTTCGTTTGGGCCGCCGTGGGGCCCTCTTGGGCCGTCCTGGGACCTTCTTGGGCCGTCTTGGCGAGCTGGGGCCTTCCAGAGGTCTTCTGAAGCCATCTAGGGCTCTTGGGGGCCTCCAATGGCCTTCTTGGGGGTCTCCCGTGGCTTTCGTGGGTCTCTCTTGGGAGACTTTTGGGGGCATCTTGGGCCTCTTGTGACCAGTCTCGGGGCTCTCTGGGGCAGTCTTGGGGCCCTCTTGGGCCGTCTTCAAACCCTCCAGGGGGCCTCTTGGGCCGTCTTGGGGCGATATCGCAGGCCCATCGGGCCGTGTTGGACGCTGCGAAGACTAAAAAAGCGGATATGCTGAACATATTCGTTTCCCGAAGGGGATGAGACGATTTCTGTTTCTTCGGGACTTTCTAAAAGGCTTCTTTGGGCGTCTTGGGCCCTCTTCAGACCATCGAGGTTCCTCTTGCAGCCCTCTTGTGCTGTCTTGGGTCCCTTGTGCGCCTTTCCGATGACCCCTCTGTTCGCCTTGAGTCTGCTCGCAAGGCCCTGCAAGGCGCCGTGGGAGGCTCGGAAGGACCAGCGGACCTTTTCCAAGGGCGCCCAGGGGGCCGCCGAAACGTCCGAAAGGGCGTCCAGGGCGTCCCTGGGGGGGGGTCCGGTATAGGGGTGGGGGGGGTGGGGTGGGTGGGGGGGTCCGGGCAATAGGAATATAGGAATAGGAAGAGGAATAGGAACAGGATATAGGAATAGGAATATAGGAACAGGGGTAGGAATAGGAGTAGGAATAGGAACAGGAATCTGCGTGTGTGCTCCGACTTCGCCGCCCTGCTCCCCCCCCCCACGCCAGCTCAGGAGGCGCAGTGGGCGGAGCGCTCCAAGACGCGCGCGCAGGAGCTCAGCGCGATGGAGGCCACGGGCGGGAGCCGGGGGATGCGCTCCCGTCGGCCTGCCGGCACGGCGACGTCCCTTGACAGGACGGTGGATGGCGAGGGGGGCACGCTGCCAAATGGGGTCCAGAGGCCTTGAACATGTTCAGATCCTGCTGTGCACTTGCAGGGCACAGGCTTACGACATGTTTTCTGTTTTTCTTTAAAAAGACAATAATAAAACAGAGCATATGTATATATACATATATAAATATATATATATATATATATATATATTTATATATATACATATATACGAAGCCTGTGCTTTTCCGATGTTTGGACTGTTAGATCAGAGTGTCCATTGGCATTGCATCCACAAGGCGACCCATCAGGGTCCACTTCGACCCGATCGATTCCGCGCGATGCCGATGCTGGCCGGCCCGATCAGAGTCGATTCCGACATCCCGACGGTCCGGTGCGACCCCATGCTTGCACGACGCTGTTGTGCATCCTTCAGGAGGGGGAAAAACACACAGACACAATTATTCGTCGATTCCCAGAAAATATGGGAAAATATGGGAAGTGGGGGGGAAGACAGAAATTCAGAAAGTACTGGAAAATATAAGGAATCTGTTTATTTGTGTGTATTTATTTGTGTGTCCAGGGCCCCTTCAATCCTGGCGCCGCCGATCCGATTCGATCACGACTCCGTGCCGACGCAGTCCGATCCGACGAAGCTTTCGATTCGATCCGATTTCCCGATCCGGTGCTGACGGTGACTGGTCGTGCCCATGCCTCATGCACCGCGGGAGAAAAGCAGGGGCAACGTCATGTGGACAGGCCTCAGGGGGGGAGGGGTCGAGAAGCGATCGGATGTAGCCAGGACCCCAGGCAAGGGGAGCCGGTTGGTGATTGGGCCCCGAAGCCCCCCAACTTGGGCAGAATCACTAAACCAGGTCTGCCGTAGCTGGTGTTTTTCGATGTGCGGCAGTTCCGAATAGTGGAGTGGGGCGGGGTGGCCCCCCCCGGTGCACATCACGAAACCAGGTCCCGCCCGCCAAGGCCCGAGCTATAGGGGCACAGGCCTCCGGGCGGGGTGGGTTCGAGGTCCGAGGTCCTCGGGCGTTCCCGTCGGTTCTCGTCGCCGTTCCGGCCTCGGGACGAACGCCAGCAGTTGCTTCCCTTAAGTCGGGCGTGTCCCTCTACAGGGGGAATACCAAAAAATAGTTCAAAAATGATATGGGGATCATTTTTTGAATGTATTTTGACCATTTTGGCGTATTTTTGTTTACTACTTGTCATTCTTCTTTCAAAATCCCCCTGTAGGAGAACAGGCCCGACGTAAGGCTTCCCGCGGGGTGCCCGGAGCGTCCCAGAAGAGCCGCCGTAGGCACTGGTCATGGCCCGAGAAGCATCGGAGGTTGATAGACCTCCTAACCTGACACGTCGATCAGTGAATCGGCCATCTTCGCTTCGCGAGAGGGCGTCGCGGCCGTCATTTTTGCGGGTCCAGGACCGTCAGTCTCGGTCCTGGGCCGCGTTCCCTCATGGGAGGTGTACGAAAGGGAGGTTTGTCCACCGCCGAGAGCAGGAGCATTGGGGGACGGGGGTGGGCTCAGTGGGGGGGCGCGCCGACCCTCCACGTCGCCCAGGGATCGCCGACGGGGGCCCAGTGGCCCACCCCGCCCCGGAGCGTGCGGCTTCGCTGACGGGGGATCCATCGCCAGAAGCTGGAACATCTACTATACGATAGGTTCGCGTCGTGTCGATTGGCGGCGACCCTTCCGCCGGCGTTCAAGGTTTAACGCCGCCGGAGACCGAGAATTGGCCCATCGTGGAACAATCCAGCGTTTTGGAAGCGGCCGTTCGTTCAAGGTTGAACGATCCCCGCGGCGTCAGGAACCAACGCTGGGGTCGACACGACGCAAACCTGCCGTAGGCCTCCTAGATGGGGTCGGAGCACATGGGGTCGGAGGATCGCGCCGCATCGCCGATGCATCGGCGGTGCGGCTCGATGCGGAGCCCGATTTTCTCCACGCTGGAGTCGCCGATGCGTCGCCGATGCATCGGCGGTTTATCGCCGATGTATCGGCGATGCAGTGCGACTCTCCGACCCCATCTACTCCGACCTGGCCTCTACATACATTACCAGCGGCCGGCCTTTTGTTTCAATCCCACGGGTTTCTGAGGGTCGAGGGCGACGTCGGGGTGGTGCGGTGTATACTTTTCCCAGCTTCCTGGGGAAAACGACGACACAGGTATACACCAGGATCCCGTATACACCAGGATCCGCTTTCCTGGGCAAATTTCAGGGCAGCAAAAGCGTCGGTGTGTGTATATATAAATATATATATATAGAGAGAGAGAGAGAGAGAGAGAGAGAAAGAGAAAGAGAGAGAGAGAGAGTTCTCGAGAGAGAGTTCTCTCTCTCTCTCTCTCTCTCCCTCTCTCTCTCTCTCCCTCTCTCTCTCTGTATATATATAGATATAGATATGGAAATGTGTTCATGTGTATATATATACACATACGTATGTGTACTTATCGGAGGTGATGGGGTGAGATCGAAGTGGAACGGAGAGCCCCCCTACTGGGAAATCGGTTTCGGTTTCGTGTTCGTGCGTGCCGTGCGTGCGGGCGAGGCGAAGCTGCGTGGGCAGGCGAGAAGAAAGTCTCCTCCGGCTGAGGCGCGGCCGGACCAAATGACCCCCTTCCGGCGGCCGTTGGCCCGCGGTGTTCCGCCTGTGCCCCGCCTCCGGCTGAGGCGCGGCCGGACCAAATGACTCCTTTCTGGCGTCCGGTGGCCCGCGGTGTCCCGCCAGTGTCCCGCCGGTGTCCCGCCGGTGTCCCGTCGGTGTCCCGATGATGATGATGATGATGATGATGATGATGATGATGATGATGATGATGATGATGATGATGATGATGATGATGATGATGATGATGATGCTGATGATGATGATGATGATGATGATGATGATGATGATGATGATGATGATGATGATGATGCTGATGCTGATGCTGATGCTGCTGCTGATGATGATGATGATGATGCTGATGCTGATGATGCTGATGCTGATGATGCTGATGCTGCTGATTATGCTGATGATGCTGATGATGATGAGGTCGCGCGTGAGCGCCCTCGTCTCCAGTTTAGCGTGCCGCGCTGGCTGCCCGCGTAAGCCGCCGCGTCAGGTCGCTACGTCGTCTCGCGCAAGACCCGTTTCCGATCGTCGCCCACGTCTGGATCCGCCCGGGAAAGCGGGCCAGGATGGACCACACGAGGCGTCACAGACCCCGATTTGAAGCGGATTTGGGGGCGCCAGTCGTGAGGGCCGCAAGAGGGAAGGGGGGGAGGAGAAGGAGGTCTAGGAGGATGAGGAGGAGGAGGTCGCAGGAAGTAGGAGGGAGGGGAGGAGGAGGAGGAGGAGGTGGAGGAGGAGGAGAAGGAGGAGGAGGAGCAGGAGCAGGAGCAGGAGGGAGGAGGAGGGAGGAGGACGAAGATCGCTACAGGCTAGATCATTAAGTCGGGCTAACGTAAAAAAGGGGGACGAGGAGGAGGATGAGGAAGAGGAGAAGGAGGAGGAGGAGGAGGAGGGAGGGAGGGAGGAGGGGGAGGAGGAGGGAGGAGGAGGAGGAAGAGGAGGAGGAGGAGGAGGAGGACAAGTGTAAACCCAAGAGTCGTCAACGATGTTGGAGTAAGCCCTCCCTCCAAGCTCTCTTTTCATAGGCCCCTACAACGGTTCATTTCCATTGAATGAACTGCCTCGGTGGAAGACACTCGTTTGAAGACCCTGAAACATGCTAAAACACTATTCTCGGGAATCCAACACCACGGATCAACCTGACTCTTGCGTCTTGGCGACCCGGTATCGTGCCAGAAAGCCATTTCCTAGGGTTTCACAGCGAATCAACGTAATTGTTGCACCCGCATAATCCTGAATCCTTCCAAAACACAATTTCTGGTAAGTTGATCGTGGAAATCCGTGAAACTCTTGTAGATGTTTCAAACGAATGCGCGCGGCGCTAAGGCGAGAGCTCCATTCTGAGAACGACCCGCCCTCAACCCGCAAAACTCTTGCAAATTATAAAAATGAATGTGCGTGACGCTAAGGCGAGAGCCACATTTTGAAAAGGAACCGCCCTCAATCCGTGAAGCCCTTGCACATGTTGAACACGAATGCGAGAGCCACAGTTTGACAAGGAACCGCCCTCAATCCGTGAACCTCTTGCAAATGTTTCAAACGAATGTGCGCGGCGCTAAGGCGAGAGCCCCATTCTGAGAACGACCCGCCCTCAACCCGCAAAACTCTTGCAAATTATAAAAATGAATGTGCGTGACGCTAAGGCGAGAGCCACATGTTGAAAAAAAAACGCTCTCATTCCGTGAAGCTCTTGCAAAGTTTTAAAACGAGTTTGCGCCGCGCTGAGGCGAGAGTCGCATGTTGAAAACTACCCGCCCTCAATCCGTGAAACCCTTGCAAATGTTTAAAGCGAGAGCGTGCCGCGCTAAAGCGAGAGCCACAGTTTGAAAACCACCCGCCCTCAATCCGTGAAACTGTTGCCAAGTTTAAGCTTCAGAGTCATAAATGGCAAGGAAGTCTCAGGCGAAGCGCCCTGCCTGCCCTAAACACTGGCCCCGGGGTGCGACAGGGAGAAGTTATGTAAAAGGAAAAGGAATGGAGGAGAAGGAGGAGGAGAGGGAGGAAGGAGGAGGAGGAGGAGGTCAATGTCGAGGTCAAGGCGGATGTTGAGAGCAGGAGCGGGGAGCGGACGAGGATGAGGAGTGGGCAGGAGAGGGCAGGCGCGGCGCGGAGAGCAGGGGCGGGGCGCGTAGGAGGAGGAGGAGGAGGAGGAGGAGGAGGAGGAGGAGGACCAGGCGAAAAGCATGTTTCTGATTTTGTCGTCGTGCGCCGCCCGTGCACTGCATGGGGCAGGGGCTCATCAGGCTCTGAAGACTCTCGCCAGGGAGTTCACTTGCCCCCTCCCCAGACCCCGACGTCGCGATTTTTCATGACGTGGCCCTCAGAGGTCGGGACCCCTTTACTGTGGACGAGTTTGTTTTATCCTGAGTTGTTTTTTAACGGTCCCGAGGCCCGGCGAGGGCCCCTGGAGGCCGAAAACAGCGAAAAGTTGTCCACCGTCTTTTTGTTCAGCGCG